GTGTAACGCACTGATAATGTCTGCCTCTTGCTCCTCTCTCACGTTGTCAGTAGCTTTACTTCTAAACATGGTATTCCCATTACCACCTACTTTGCTTAGAAAAAGGCATCTTTTTACAAATACGCTGTTATCACTTACATTTTTTTCTGTTCTTCAAATATTCAGCTTTCATCAGTCCTGCACAAACACTACAATTTTGCTCCCACGCCTCCCTTTTCTTTTTTGGGGCTGCAAACAACTGTGCCAATGCAATTCCAATGCTTGTGTCGCTTGAGAAGGGACACAGCCAGCACTGGTTCAAACATGATCAATTTATTTTCCTTGCTAGCCTGATGTGAATTGATACTGCATATGTTATTCCTGCCTTTCCAGAGTTTATTTGCTCTCTTTTAATATGTACCAGAATTTGCAGCACATTTCCCCCTAGATTAAAATTGTAAGAGTGACAACCAAAGACATTTGTCTCTTGCAGGGGCTACTTTTAGAAAGGTTAATGCTGGTCACTGTTTCTAGGGAAACAAGGGACTTTGATAAGAAGCCCTTGTGACTAACCTATTTTTACTAACATTACATATTGGAAAGGAATGCAATAACGTTTATCAGCTTGAGACACAGATAGTGTCAATATTGTGGTCTTATATAGAAAAATGGGCATCTGGGATCTGTAAAAGCAGAGTTATGAACCCTCTCTATTTTCTTAGAAGAAAAATATCAGCCAGCTGTGTTTTGACAAAAGCTGGCCTTTAGACTACTCTTAATAAAATGTGCACTGTAATAACCTGGAACTCCTGAAAAGCAAGATCAATGAGATAGAAGGACATCAGTTCAAGATACAGACGCTTGGAGAAAGTGTCTTCTGAGACAGGAGCCTCTGGACTGCCCCATAAGCAAGCAGAAAGACTATCCCTCCACGAGATGCACCCAAGTGACTGTCTCTAAAAAGATTGAGAACCTATTATTTACCTCAGGGACCTTTTGGCTAATGATCCCTGCTGCTGTTGCAGTCTCCATTTAAAGGAAAAATGGGAAAAAGCCAAAATGATCTAGTCGGATGCTCTTTGAAAGAAAAAGGTCATGCACATTGGAATTGTTTCAGCAGAAGAAAAATGTGAATGTCGTACCAAGCAGCAAATCCTGGCCTATTCTGTACAACTGCATGTATTTTCTCTTGTGAGGAATTATGGTTTAATTCTTCAAGCCGTTGATGCCCCAAAGGAAATTGGAGGGGAAAGAAAGCTTAGCTTTAAAAATAGTTGCACTCTGCTACATCTCTGAAGGATAGGAAAATTGGCACTAAACAGTACATTTAAAGTGTGTTTATGACAGCTAGATTTGCTTATTAGAACTGGAGATTTTCAGGTTTCTGCAAGCCTTTGTGCTCCCCCTGCTGCAGCGCACACGCTCGGCAGCAGACACAAGTGTCTGCAACCTGAGGTGTCAGGAGCTTCTGTTCACTCTTCTTTCAGAACCCTCTTTTTAAAGAGTTTCTTCCACTTAATTCTTTGCTGATATACTATTGCACCACATAGCACCTAAAGGAAATTTAAATTTCTCTATGGAAAGCATCTGCTTTCACGCAAACATGCCTGGGGAAACAATTCCTCACCCACCAAAAATGTTTTAAGTGCCTTTTAAGCCACTGAAATCCGTGATCTATTGCCATCAGTATGCAGGCTCCTGGAACAGAATAACCTCTTCCCGCTTTGAACAGTTAGAAATCACCAGTGACTGTGGAGAATCCATGCACAGAACCACAAGAGGAGAGCAGCCCATCTTACTGGCTTGGTAGCTCACCACAGCATCCCAGTCCATCCATCCCTTGGCCAGGCCCCCGCCTCTCATCCCCTGCCAAGCTCCGGCTGCATGGGCACGCTCCCCTCCGAAGCCGGGCTAGGATAATAAACATTTCAGAGCTGTCATTGCTGCCTCTCCCCCGCTGACATGCGATCATTACGGTATCTTAAGAACGTTTAAATAGGTCAGGGTTCTAATGGGAGAGCTCGGCTTCTGGGAGCGAGACTGACAGCGCTTTGAGAGCAGATTAACAGCGCTGATAAATCAATCTCAAACTGACTCACAGCCCTAAGAACGACAGGAGAGCGAAAACAGTAAGAAGCACGCCTAGTGAAATAAGTGGTCCCAGCTCTTCCGCTCTGGAGATGGGCCAGGGAAGGGATAGAAGGTTTTTGTCATCTGCCTCCTCACTCTTCTCTCTCTAAAAGCTGATGTGCCCCATCCCCTCTGAGAAAAGTTTTCAGTCTCCAATAAACTTGAGCATCCCACCTTGCCAGACAGGTCAGTACATAATGGCATGTTTTCAGAATTATTGTGCATCCTTTTCCAAACTTCCACATATCCTAATTGCCACTAGCAAGTTTTGGGGTTTTCCACCCCACATCTTAAACTGCTCTGCATCTTCCATAACCAGTGGGAGAAGGCAGGGAGTTACAAGCTCTGATAATCCATGTAAGTAGTTCAGGTTAATCTTTTCACTATTCATTAACTAAGCGTTTATTTGCACAGCACATCATTTGAATTACCGTGGCCCATTCACCAACTTTATTATGCCCTTCTGAAGTTAATAGTAGGAAGTACTTTAGCTTCGAACAATGCAGAAAAGAAAAAAAAAATAATCCATAAATGCCTCTCTAGGGTTTGTATTGCGCAATCTGTCTTCAAAGACAGGGTACTTCATTACCCCTGTTTCAGCCTGTGACTGTGATGCACTCACTCTGCTCAAGCAGCCTGAAAACCACATTTCCATTTCAATAAGCAGCACTGCCCTGAAATGCTCCTAGAACTTCAGACACAACATATTCTAGCTCCCGGTGCCAAGCTCCTGCAAGACAGCTTGCCTGCCTTTGCCTCTTTTGCATTTCAGCTTTAAGGATTTCGAGCCTGCCTTTCAGGTACGAGCAGCAGTGGGTACTCTCCTCGCTGATCGCCTGGTTTTGCTGCTGTGGAGGTTTATTTTTCAGAGGAGGTGAGGGGGGAAACGAAGGAAAATACGCCTTTTTAGACACGAGCGATTTTTTAAATTTTTTGCTTCTGTAACTCTCTGAGTTGTAACTCGGCTTCCTGACAAGGATTGTTTGCTGGCTTGTGTTTGCTTTATGCCAACTGCAAACTATGCTAAAAAAAAATGCGGTGACAATTTAATTAGTGAAATAATTGCCATGGCGGGATACTTTATTAACATCGCAAGCGCTGACAGAATAAGCCTGATGTGATCAACACAACACTGAATAGCGAGAAGGCACGGCAGGAAGCAGGCTGGGGGAGGTTTTCTCAGCACTTACGTTCTGTAAGCAAAGACAAGACACTATTCCTTTGCAAGCACAGCTACACCGAGCTGGTCACCTCCACCAGGAAACTCAGTCAGCTAAGGTCATTGAAGAAATAAGGCCAGTTTTTAAAGAAAATCTATTTCCAGAGATATTACTTTCTGCCATGAGCCCAAAAAAAGCACAAGCCTGTGCTTTTCACGTGGTCTAACGACCTGACGCTTCTTGTCAGTTGAATTTAAACACCTTCAAAAATGGACAAGACATCCTTCTCTCCAGCAGCTACGTTCTGGAGTATATATATAAACACAGACACATATACACACAGACATATAAATATATATATATCTAAGCATATATACATACATACATATTTATATATGTGAAAGCAAGTTTATTTTCTAACCTCTCCTCTCACAGCTACGATGCTCCACTCTTACAGCTTAATACCAGGTAAAATTAGCCTTTTTTCCCCAGAGACCTGCAGAACTGACCCTACGAATCGGCACTGCACCGCAGCCAGACCGTGATGGACTCCATCACCACTGCACTCCCCCCTGCCTCTCACTTCTCCAGGCTCCTGCTACCCAGGCTCAGCACCATCAGAGGCTGATGCTAGAGCTGAAATCCTGCCACCAGCAAAACCCCTGCAGCACTTTAGGCTCAGTCTCTTTTCTGCACAGGGCATTGCTATTTTGCTGGATGAGCACATCACATCTTAACCCCAGGTTAGTTTCTGAAAAGGCGTTGCAGGGCAATGTCAGAAAGGGCTGAGCTGCAGCGCGCCAGGCTGCTGCAGGCTCCCCAAGCATCGCTGAAGCAGTGGAAACAGAGAAGGGAGCACTGAGACACCAAGTCAGGAGAGAGGGTCAGGGAGACCACGGTGAGAAAAGGCCACGCTGGACCACCCAGAGAAACCTACAGAGCCCTTTGGAGAAAGGCTGCACTATGTTTCTTGACCAAAACCCACTAAGAGACTATTGCTGAGATGGGCCAGGTGTTGTCTTTGTGAAGGAGGAATTACCTTTGCCACAACAGCAAGCAGCAGCTGAGATTTCCAAGGAGGTTACAGGTGCAACTCCTTCAGAGCCACACTGGCTCCCCAGCAGCAGCTGATCTGGGCGTAACAGAATGGATTTTAAATAACTTTTTTTGTAATTCAAATACATATTTTTTTATTTACAGGGAAAAAAAAAATAATGGACGTGATGGGGAAGAAAAAAAAAAACAAAACAGATTATACGCTTGAGGCATAATGTACAAAGCCAAAAGTACCTGCCACATACGCAGTTTTAGGCACTTCAGTCTTACACAATGGTTCAGAAAAGGGAAATAAGAAAGCAAATAATGTATCTGGTGTGATGATGCTATAAAAGCACTGCCAAGAATGGGAAATATGCCCTGCCTCAGTGGGGGCCTCTGAAACTTCACTTTAAATACCAGTAGCTCAGTGGCATGAAAACACCAGATAACTCATTTGACAGGATTACCAGCCCAGTTGAATAACTTGCTAAATTTTCAGCAAAACTCACTCAACAGAAAACCTCAGGTTTTGATCTATCCACCCCATCTCACAGAAACTCCTCACCAGCAGCTCCATCTATTCAAATGTATTCACCAGAATAGCATTTTGGAATAGTATTGATTGAAGAGCTGTTGCTGTACTGCCCTGTAGATGCAGATGGTTATTCATCTCACCTCTCTAGATACTGTTCTGCAGGTCCGGTGTCTGTGCCTTCCCTCTGCTAGAGGAGAAAACGGGATCCTATCAATAACTGCAGCAAGGAAAAAAAATAACATTTTTATTTATATAGGTATAGAAAGATGTATATTTTTTTAAAAAATCATCAATGATGTTTTTCAGAGACTCCAAATTTGCAGCAGAAGGCTCAGCTGCAAAATTTAGCACAGAACTTTGACAAAAATATGGGCTATTTTGGGGTATAAAAATATGCTAGAGGAAAAAAAGAAAAGGAAGCTTTATTTTTTAAATTGGATTATTCTGCCTCTTGCCTATCAGGATATACCGGCCCTGGTGGAAACTTTGGTCCTTCTTGTTGTACTGCAGTTGATGAACAGGGATTTTCCAAAAAAAAAAATAAAATTCTCTTCACCCATCCTCACCCAAATGTGCACCAGAAGCGCAGAGAAGGAATTGCAGGGCTTACATGCAGATGATTTCCATTGCATTGCCAGCATGGTCTGGATAGCCACTGTCATCCATCACTGACACACCTTCACACTTCAAGATCTGCAATGTATCCATCATCAGAAAAAAAAAATATATTTAAAAACAAAATCACCATGATACGGAAATTGCTGACACTTTTCTAGGAAAGGGAAGCTGATTGAGACAAAGGTAGGGGCTACATCCGTATAAGCAACGAGGCTTAATTCCCACTGCTTTGTCTGCGTGGAGTTACAAAGCTGATTGCCTTCAAAGAAGCGACCTGTTCATGATCGTGCTGTTAGATCAGGAAAAATCACTGGGCAATAGGGCTGTAAGAATTTGACAGCACCCTGGGAACTGGAGTCCCACTCTCCTCCATGTGGAGACAGGCTTCTCAACCAGGTGTGTCGTCTCTTTCACACTTACTTGGTTTAAAAAGTAGGAAGTTTACCTCTGTAAAAACTAATGGCAAGTTGTTCTTGCCTGACTAGTTTATTCAGAATCAAGAACAAAAGGGGCAGATTTTAGATACTGAAAGTATAAGGAGCAATAGCACTAAGTAGCACTATTGTTGAAAACTATTGTTGAAAACAGTAGTGTGCTACAGTCAAAGATAATAGAATCATAGAATCATAGAATTTCCCAGGCCGGAAGGGACCTCCAAAGGTCATCTAGTCCGACCTCCCCGCAGTCAGCAGGGACACCCCCAACTAGACCAGGTTGCCCAGGGCCTCGTCGAGCCTCTCCTTGAATATCTCCAGGGATGGGGCCTCAACCACCTCCCTGGGCAACCTGTTCCAGTGCTCCACCACCCTCATAGGAAGTTTACCTCTGTAAAAACTAATGGCAAGTTGCTCTTGCCTGACTAGTTTATTCAGAATCAAGAACAAAAGGGGCAGATTTTAGATACTGAAAGTATAAGGAGCAATAGCACTAAGTAGCACTATTGTTGAAAACTATTGTTGAAAACAGTAGTGTGCTACCCTCAAAGATAATAGCCATGTTCCAAGTTACATCTCAAGGAAGTTTGTCTCGCCCTTCACTGGACACACAGACTTGAATTTTAGCTGCTTGCAGCAATCGGAAAACTATCCTGAATACACCTGAACAACCTACAGTTTTCTATTGCCTCACAGGGTGTCTCTGCCTTGGTGTGAAAAAAGCATGCAAATTGCAGTATGAGACCAATCAGTAAAATTTATTTCAATGAGTGAAAGAACTGGAAAGCTGACGTACAGATCCATTCCCCAGAAATAATAAACCAAAGGCCGTTTAAGACTGAGTCCAACAGTGGGCATCAGTTCTACCCCATACACGTGCAATGCAGACAGGTCTTATTGATTTGATCACAGCGTACACATAAAGTTCAAAAAAAACCTCCACCAAATACTCCCTTAACCAGAAAGGACATAGTCCTCCTAAAACAAGATCTGTTTTAGTGAGCGTGAAAAAGATACTCCCTTAACCAGAAAGGACATAGTCCTTAATACTACAACTTCAAGATCTGTTTTAGTGAGCATGAAAAAACTCAATTATGAATGAGCACTTTTGTACAGCTTATGGAAAAGGGTTTGCAAAAGGACTAATGAAATGAAATCTTCCACTGTTCCTGTTCCCCACACCACAGCCTGTTTGTTAGCAGTAACAACGTGTGACATGTCACGGGGCTCTGCTGAGCTGAGCTCCAGACCTCTGACACTAAATCACTGATAAAGTCATAACATGGAAAAAAAGGGCCATCCGAGTCCCTTCCCAACAGCCGAGCCCTGGGAGCCAGCAACGCTTGCCTGAATCCAGCTATCTCCATGAAGTGTCTCCCACCACCGTTATCAGAACCAGAAGTGAAAAGGTGTTAGGGAAGGACAGATATTTTTGCACGGTGCTCTTTCAGTGGCAGCAATGGGCTGAGCCAGGAGCGCCCGTGTGCAAGGGTGGCTGCTCATAACAGCGTGCATCCCAAGAGCAAGGCAAGTGACAATCATCCAGCCATGCCTTGACACATTCACATCACTGAGTTCCCCTTAGCATCACCTCCTTCCTCTCCCTGCCCTCAACTAAGGACAAGATGTTTCAGGAGCCGGCCCGTAGTCTCCTCCACACCCTTCTCTTTCTGGACTTGGGGGAAGTGCACGGCAGAAGGAGAGCACCAGGAGAGCTCGTGCTTGTGGCTCTGCACTTACAAAACAGAAGACAACCATATATGGTCAAGGAGGAATAATTAGCAGACACTGTTTCAATCTTACTCCTGCTTTATTCATTACTGTCTTCAAAGACACCCCCTTCTTCCTCCCAGAATAACCCCCTCACCGAAACAAAAGGATGGACACATCACCTTGGATGTTTTTACCACCTGACAAAACATACTAAGCGCTGACAACTGATTCATCATTCTCAAGATTCAGCACTTGTCACGTCTATCAGAATTTCTTTAGAGATCTGAAATACCAAAACTGGAATCTAGCACTTGCTACAAGAGTGTCTTCCTCGCCATAAAGGATTAGGGCCTTTAATTAAAAGAAAAGCTGAAAAATCTGAAAATTCTGCATGAACTGATGATAAGAACAGATCATTAGTATTAAAAATGCAAATACACAGAGGATATACCATCCTCCTGCACCAACAGTATTTCTGATCAGCCACTCTAAGTAAATCCTGCCAGGTATTTACATACTCAGCTTGAAGAAAAATACAAAGGGCAGAATCACAGTCAGGAATATGACAACAACGCTGCCATTAGCCTCCAACCAAGCATCACTGATCCACGAAATTAAGAGATCAGACAAAAAGAAACCCAACTAAATTGCAATAAGAAACATATAGTTAGGGAGTTTAAAAAGCCTTAATTTGTGCTGTATAGTGAGGGCAGACTGTGACTAAGGCATCTAAGTGTTTGTATTCCTACAAGCTTTTTTAAAGCTGAATCCACCTTTCCAAAGGCATTGAATGAATCATCACTAGCATTCATTCATTTTATCAGGCTTTTATTTTTCCTGCCCTTCAGGAAGTTCCCATTCCAAAAACGACTACAGGGAGAACTGAACGAGGAGCACCAGCTGGGGCTCCTGCACAAGATTTCTGCCCTTCTGGAGGAGCAGAGCACCACACAGCAGAGCGCTATTTTAAGTGTGGAGCTACTGGAGAAGCAGAAGAACAACCAGTGGTCGCCAGCCTTCCAGATTAGCACCTATTTTGCATGCCTGGAGCCTCACAAAGCAGCCCGTTCCACTCACAGGTTTGGCTTTTAGCTTGCAGCAGCAGAACAGGCTTAGGGATTTTATTTTAAAATGGAGAACACATACAAAGAAATGGTGTGAAGATCCTACTTTCTAAGTCCTTCCAGCAGAAAACTTGAGGTGTTCTCTGTGGTTCTGCCTCATTCCCACCAGCAGGCAAGGTTTCAGTGGTACGGGAGACATTTCAAGCAGAAACACGCAAGCTACTCAGCCATCGAGCCTTTTAAACTTTAAAGATAAGTGACTCAGTTAATCCAGCAGTGAAAGCCTACGTGTGCCCCATCTCCCCCGTAAGAGTGGCATTTCAACCGCTGCAGAGACTGATAATAAGTTGCATTATCTCTGATACCATGGTGGACCTATTTAAGGATTTTTAGCCTGGCTGTACTCTATACGTAACATTAAATACAGCCATTGCTAATAACTTGGCTTAATTATTAGCTAATTTCTTCATACACATGCAAGCTGAAGATTTCAATTATTTTTAATTATATGGAAAGTTCCAAGTGTCTGTTTTATTCCATTAAGATCATTCAGAACTCGGTAAAACCAGCAAACGCTTAATTCTTTAAATGACAGTTTTTAATTAATTTGAACTCAGGCTAATTAAAAGATTTGCAGATTGCAACATTCTAGTCCATTTTCAGAAGGCAAGCCTTTACGTCTGCGGCAAATGTGCTCTATTTTCCATTCAGATTAAAGATTCAGCTCCTCCTCTAAGTGCAAAAACCTCTTCAGCTTTAACAGTGGAATTACAACTGACAGCAGGTAACAGAAGTGCTCCGAGCTACAAACAGCCCCTGAAAACACCCAAGTCCAGTGCTCCAACTTGCATGAAAATCTGGGCACTGGAGACAGGAACAAGGGCTTCAGCTAGAGCCTTAGGTGGTAACAGCCTTGGTTTAATCCCTCTCACCTACCAACCACTCACCTGTTTGTGCAGCACCGTATAAAGGGGGAAACCAATGCCCTGCCCTCACAGCCACCCTGCAACAAAATAAGGGAAGCTGTGTTTGCCAGAAACACTAGCTTCAGTGGGTAACTTCAAAAAGGGAAGATATTTTACTAAGTTTGTAGCCAATGAAAATAAGGCTTGTGGCTTTGCTATAGACGTCTCCGCACCCGCAGTTACTTTTATCCTCACTGATCAATTCCAATGACATTTGGCAAATGGAAAGTGACTCTGGTGACAGTCCTACAAGTCAGTAGCTGGCTAGAAGTTGGACCCTGAAGCCAACATGGGGAGATGTTGCTTTTCCTCATATTGTGTACATCAGAGCCTGGGCCAGCTAGTGTCTCCATGATTTCCAAGGCAGCATCATGACATGTTGTCTCCATCCCAGTAGAACAACCTTCCCAAGGACCTGGTAGAGCCCCCATCAGCGAAGGTTTAAAAAATGTGATTGGACCCTCTCCCATGAAAAGGTTGGACTAGATGATCTTTCAAGGTCCCTTCCAACCTGGGCTGTTCTACGATCACTGGGAGCACAGAGGTGAGAAAACTGAGGTCACTTTCACATGGAGGAAAGCGAGGGCTTAAGGAGAACAGAGACCCGATGGCACAGTGCATAAGTTTTGCTGCTTTCAGTATGCACTGCTTTAAATGTATGAAAGTCATTAAGTCCTTGACTGGCATGAGCAAAGTTGGATTTTCAGCACAACACCTTCGCACAGCTGCTGGCAATGAGCTGCCTTCGTATACAAATATAGTTAATGTATACAGCGATTGTTGGCTTGATTTCTCCATTTAGAATGAGTAATGCATATAGCCATAGTAACCAGCTCCTGCCACCGAGTCCTCCTTCTCTTCTGAAGTCAATCTATTTATGCATGGATCTATGAAGAGGAGTTTGTGTTTCTCCCCGTCGGAAGAGTAAGTGGGGGAGACCTGGCTGCGCAGTTCTGCCACACACCGCTGAAATGCCATGGAGTGACCTTGGCTGTTGTTCTGTGAGTGGTTTTCCAGCATGTCACACGCATCTGCTACCCACTTATCGACCCACTTGAGTCTATATAAACTAGCCAATATTCTCTTTGCTAAATAAGGTTATTAAAAAATGTAACATTGCATGCAGTAATATCTCCATACAAATTTCCCAGTCAAGACATCAATAGTTTTAAGGTGTTGGAAAACCATTTTCAATGAGTTCGTGGAGTTTCACAGGAAAATAGGTTTGCAGCTAGCATTCACATTATCATTTTGCCTGCCTAAAGGATCTTGAATCTGAGGACATTTCGCTTTTAATGTTTTAAAGATACAAGCATGTCAGAGCCTTTAACACAAGATAACAAAATCCAATTTCACTTGCCGAGATCAGCCTTTGTCAGTGTTACTACCCGAGTGCTGAACTCGAGTCCCAGATCTGATCTAAGTTTTATCCCTTTCTAACTGGGTAAAAATAAACACATCCTTCCTTACCCTTTATGGAGGCAAAAGCATTGCAAAGAGGGAAGTACGCGTGCGCTGGGAAGAATTGAGCCAAGCAGCAAAGGCTACCCCAAAAGGACACATACCAAGTGCTATTTCAGTTGTCGAGCTCTTTATAATAAACAGTGGCATTTATATATAAAATTTATGATTCAGATGGTAGCTTAGACTACAGACCTGTGCCTGGAGGAAGGCAAAATCCTGCCTCCTTCCCCAGAAAGCATTAAAGAGATTACAGAGACCTTTCATAGAGGAATAGTACGCAGAGACTAAGGGAAAGCTCAAAGCTATTGTGATATTTCCCCCCACCCCCAGCCGTCACACATTACCTTACTGAATGAAGGAGAAGCTGGCCATGTGCATGAACTGTGGAAAGCAACTTATTTTAGACAGCAGTAAAACAAGTCTGACCTAAATTGCTGAGTTTAACTTTACCTTGGGCTATGCACAAGTGCAGAAGTTACCAGAGCCCAGCCGGCAGCAGTAAACCCACTGAACGCCTTTGCATCATCGTATCTATCTAGCAAAAAATTACTGGTTCCTATCAGTGGTTTGAATGGTCATTGTTTAATATTTCAGTTCTCATCCAAGAACACATCCTTGTTAGATTTGCCTGGGACTGACAATATTTAACAAGTCTGGGAGAAATCCAGGAAAATGTTATCACTGAACACCAGACAGAGACTAATGCCAGACTTCAGTTACTTGATTTAAAATTTTTATCACACTTCAACACCGCAATGAATGGAAAATACTTCCCAAAGTATTAGTGCCACTCTTATCTCTCCTCTCATCACTTTCTACCTTAAGTTCTGAGAAATGGAAGAATTTTGGGGAGGTGATGGTGGAGGGGACACTCCAGTTTCTGCAATGCAAGCCACCCCACGCTTCTTGCCTTGTGGGGCAAAAGACACTTGTATGTCCTGCCTATCCATGACCTAAGTCTAATAAGTTTTTTTAATTGCATACATCACACATGATGGTAAAATTCCAACAGAATTTAAACACCGACATTTTAAAGACTTTCCCTCAAGCCTGAGACTTACTGATGTACAACATCTGTTATTTCAAAATCAGGATATTAAGAACAGATAGAGGAGACTTAACAAGTATCACTCTCCTCATCAAGCAGTGACCTCGTCTCCTGGAGAACCTCTGCACCTCAGGACTTGTACTTGGGATCAGCCAGAAGGCTTTTCACCCTCTAGCAAAAGGCTTTTCACTCTTGGTTGTTTGCAATCCTCCTTGTGTGCAGACTTGGTAAGCTAATAAAATTGTTATCTGCAGCTTCGGTCTAGCTTCTATCCTTTCTTCTCAACAACTCATGAATAAACATGACAATTTATCATCAGGCTTTGAGTAGTTAGATTTATAATAAACAAGGCTTGGGAGCAGGATGGAAAGGGGGAAGGAAAAAAAAATGTCATTTGAGTACTCCAGGCTTCAGAAATAGAACTAAAATTGGAGGCTGTGCGACCTCGCTTCAGCACCTGCGTGCGTAAGCGCTCTGCTTCCAGTGATGTGATTAGATGCTATTTTTCCCCTGGGGGCTCTGCCTCATTCTGCATGAGATAGGCCTGCGTGGGGAGGAAGGCAAAGTCGGTGGTGAAGGAGACACTGCTGTCTGCCTGTCCCTTTTCACTCTGTTGCAGAAGCTGCCTTCTGTGTGAGTCAGAAGTGGGAGAAGAAAGATGATCTTAAGATTCCAGTAATTGCTTGCTGCATTAGAATGCCAGGAGGCTTCACCACCAAGTACCTGTGTGATGGCAAGCAAGCCATTTACACCAGCCTTTAGACTGGGAAAAGCCAAAACTGATTTTATTTTCTATGTGACTGGGTTGAAATCCCCTGATTTGTATGCTAATGCTGAGTGGAAGTGCGTGAAAGTACCATGTGACTTTCATGCAGCCAAAGCCACCAAGAATCATCCTTTGGAGCTACAGAAAAAACTACCTGTACACACACGTATAAAGTGTTATGGACTAACAAATGGAGGCTTTCGACTTTTCACATGAGCAGCCCTAGCTCAGCAGCTGACCCCAGTCTGCATCTTGATTCTCTCTTGGTAGTGTGAAGGTAACGGGATGTAGATACCCTAATGGTAAGTACCATACAGAAATGAATGAGCGAGAAAGGGGCTACACAGTAGATATTTTACCTTCTACACACTGGCAAAGGTTCTTCACAAGCAGAAGAGCACAGTCTAAGCAGCAGCACGTGTCTGAGCAGTTAGAAGCAGCAGCCCTGTTCCGCTCACACAGGGGGAGGCAGGAGCAGCCTCTCTCTGCCCTGGCACTTCACAGAGCTGAGCAGACCCTTGCCTCTCCGGGGGAAAACACTCACCCTGGAGGCATCAGCCAGCCCAAGGACTGTGCTCTCGAAGCACACCATGCCTAAAAATACACAGCACTTCAGCCACGGACATTAAACAGGTGAAGGAGTGACAACAGCCTCACGCAGACAGGATGCTGTTCCCCAGCGTATTAGCACCCCCGGTAAAAATGACTTCTGCTCTTGTCAGTGAAAGGCATAAAGGCCTTTACTGGGTCTGTGCAGAAGACAAGCAAGGCAGCAGCACAATACCTTGAAGCACAGTCTGAGGAGCTTCTCAGTGTCGAAGCAAACCGTTAGCTCACACTGAAACGAACACAATTGCTCTCCGACATCTCCTGCTGCCTTCGAAAGCCACAACAAAGAAGTTGTATTGATTCACCTCATCCTGAATATAAAGAAGAAAATTAAAGGCTTCTTTTAAAACCTACATTCACTTCCAATTGCTAGATACATGATAAAAATAAACCAACGATATTTTTCTAAGCTTTATCCTCAAGAGATAAAAAGAGAAACAATTAAGGTACTTGATATGACACATAAGCAAGCAGAAATGGCTCCCGATCATGGTCCCTACCCTCTAACCAAGATTAAACAAAAATATATTGTAACTGAGCAGCATTGGATTTTATTTTTTCCCGTGTGGCCCATCATAAGCCTCTGGATTTTCAAATGACAATAGCCTTATATTTCCTTCAAAGGTTACAGGACATTCTGGCTGTACTGTAAAACACAATTGAAATGCAACACTTGAGTATCAATATAAGCAAATAATACACCCAGACAGATTATTCTGAAGTAAAACTGAGCCAAAACAACAGCTGCTTACTTACAAAATTAGTTTTTAATAACTTAATACAGTGCAAAACCCTAAAACACATCGATAGCTCTGTTACTCTGAAGAAAAATTTAACCAATCCAGTCTTTGGTCTCTTGTGTAAAGGTTTAGCTATGTGTGGGGAAGTCAAGGGCCAGCCGTCCCTGCGATGAAGGAGATCCCAGCAGTACGAGGCGCTTGTTCTCCGTGCTGAGACAACCTTTTCAAAAACGTACTTTGGCCCAAAGGAATAGGGTCCTACAGAATTTAATCAGCATGTATTAAGTGACAATCCACAGGCTGGAGTTAGAACAGAAATGCTGTATCACGAGCCAACCACATTAGAAGAAAACTGCAGTCAACTATACTATTACAGCAGCTAAGCCAAGAAGTCTGGGGTTTTTCCACTCCTATCAATTTCTTTAGGACCTGGTGAAAAAATCCTCCCCTTTACCTGCACTCCCCTCTCCTCATCCCAGAGCAAAAGCAGTGACAGGAACTTCCCACAGAAAAAGAAAAAAAACCAACCAACCAACTCCACTGGCCACCTCCCAAGGCTCCCCACATTGCAAAGAGGAACACAAAGACACAAAAGAAACACACGTTTCTCAAACACCAAAGAATTCATTTGTGAGGCAGAGCTTTAGAAGGAGAAGATATTTCAAAGCCCTGCAATCCAGCAGTGCTTTCAGAGTCCATCTAAGCAGCAAGAGCTACTATGCTCACTCCTGAGGAACATGTGTTTTCCTTGGTTTTCTCTCTCCTTTCTTTAAGGGCCCCAGAAGTTTGTATCACACACACCGTAGTAAGCTGTGGTCAGGGCTAGGACTGTGTACTGACTGAAAAGATACTTCAGACCATTCCCAAATATGCTGCTTTGTACCTTTTTAATGGCTTCTCCACAAGCCTTCTATTTGGAAAGCATACTAGCAGAAGGAAGAAAGCAACATGTAGTGATGCTCTTACACATTCCTGCTGGAAAGATGGGGTAGTGGGGCAAACACCATGTAAGTTTTAACAGAGATACACTATTGCATAGATTTGCATATTTCCATTTCCAAAGACATCCTCACAATAAATAAATAAATATCTATTGTTATGAGCAAAGCGACTGCAATGTTTGCTCAAAACCCAACATAGCCCAACAAGAATGGGTTAGAAGACAGACTATACACACATTAATGGGAGCAACATACCATATAAAGGCTCCCATAATTCCCGAGCTTCCATTTTCAGCCAAAAGCTAGTGGCCATAAAAAACCCTCAACCAACCAAAACCACCACTAGACCAAACCAAACCCCACCTCCTTAGACTCAAGCTTGCATTTATAGTTCAGTTAGAAAGCTGCAGAGGCATAAGAGGAGACATGGAGAGTTTTTGATCACATACTCATGACACTAACGCTGAGAAAGGAGCACACGAATGGATCCAGCTGGCTCTTCTTACTCATTCCCCTTTATAAGATTCATTCCTAGTAAGACAAGATATTCCAGCTGGTCACCAGCTCTTCAGCCAAGACCATCAGTTAATCCCAGGTCAAAGGGCAACATGTCAGAAGGGACAAAAAGTCCTCCCTTAAGAGTGTAACACATTGCGACTGTGAGAACCTCAGGCATAGGAGGTTCAAACAGAAGCTGGATATTAAAAAAAAAAAAAAAAAAAAAAAAAAGAGGGTCATACTACCTTATTTTTTCTGTTATGACATGGACAGCCTCTTTGATAAAGGTACCAAGTTTTTCCAGCAGTGACCGGAACAATCCAGACCATCATTCAGGAGGTGGGGAAGCACCTTGTTGTCAGGCATGGTCCGGATATTTACATCAACAGGATATTTATGGTCAGGATATTTACATCAGCACATATACAGTTTTCAGTGTGGCATAATTCAGCCTAACTAGTTATCCCTCATTTCTGTGTACTCCTAGGAAAGTAGCCAATTTAGATTGGACTGGGGTAGAGACATGAATGTGTCACTGGGGATATAAAGCTAGCAGACTGTTCCCAATTTCATCATGCTGCAGGAGGAGTTGGAAAGGAAGCCTGTTTCAGACAGTGAAAAAAATCTGAAGATTTCAAAATTAACCAGATGGGAATGCATGGGGGAGTGCATTTATATATAAGCCAACTTTGCAAGGTTAAAAGCATTTTTTGGTGAAATAAGTACTCGCCTAAAAATACTTGATCTTTGGCTGCTGACAATAAACTCTAAGAAAAAGGTGCAGAGAACCTCTCCTTACATCTTCACAAGAAGACTTAAACCAAACCTGTAAAGCTGAGTGTCACAGTTTCTGTGGAGTTTGTCCCATTTTTAACCTACACTTATTCCAGAAAAGTGCCCTGCCAGAGATTTCCTGGGGAACTAGACACGTACCTTTGAGTCAAGAAAACTGTAAGCATAAACAAGACAAATTCTGACCAGCAGATAACACTTTTGGCTCTGCTGAATCTGTAGAATGAGTGGATTTTAGACTTCTTTACTCAGAATTTTATATTTTGTTTACACCGTCTCTAAATAAATCCTACTACTCACAGTCACTACTAAATACTGAAAAACCTACCAGAAATTATATTGGCTGTTTATATGCTGATACTGCCTGCTTTAAAAAGACTTATCTACCAGCACTTACATTTAGGATCACTTCTACAGCAAGGCTGTGCTTTCAGGCTGTAAGGTTCAAAAGCCCTGCTGTTTGTGCAGGATGTTACCTTCAGCCAAAAGTTAACAAAATTCCAGCCAAAGTTTCACAAACCTGGGAGGAAAGGGGTTTTTGCCTACATTAAGTTGCGTATGCTAGCACAAATACCACACCATAGATATTTTGACCACTCCAATAAAAAAATACAAAAAATACTCTCCCTTCTTTATAACAGGGATAAGAATGGGGGAGGACAACGACAATGTGGGAATAGGTTCGGGAAAAGCTTTGTGTTCCATCTTCTGTGCAGGCAAGGATGATCAATCACTCTTAATTCAAAAGTCAGAGTTCAGTTCCACAGGCTGTTTTACCCCAGAAGAGGGAAAGACTCCACTACTAGATCCAAACAGAACACAAGAAAAGCTTCCTAATTTGAATACAAGACAGAGACTTGAGCAGGAAAGAGCAAGCGGTAGGCAGCGTCACTTGGAATCCGTGGTGGAGATATGCAGAAGTAGGGGAAAGTGAAAGCCTAAAATAAACCATTAACAGGGAAGTAGAAAAAGATCAAAGAACGCGGAGACGAGCCCAAAGAAAAGGGGAGTGGCAAGAGGAAGACAACATACACCAGATGCTAAGTTAAGAGCATCGACTCCAAACTGTATACCATCTTGTTAGCCCCAAAAAACTACACCAAAAATGAACTAGAGAGCACAGAAAACACACCGCAGAAAAAGAATTCCTGTTTTTACAGCAGGACTGAAATAAGCTATGTAGAACCACTGCTGTATGGAAAAACTTTCTCCAGATTGTGTAGAATAAAAGGCAGCTCCTTTCAGATAAGAAGTACTAGAGTGCCCGATATCGAGACGTGAGGCTGCTCTGAACTGAGACTGCTCAAGAGTCTCTGCACTCCTAAACCAGGCAATTGACAACCTGAGAGAACACACAGATAATTAGAAATTGACTCTATTGAAGAGCTATTCGTTGTGCTGGTGCCAGCTACTCACTGCACTACATGAGGAAGCCTGTGGGGAAAGAAAGAGTCCAGCAGCATATTGGATACAGCATGTAGCAAGAATATTAAACTGCACGGGGAACCTTATTACAGAACTGTTTTCAACACTGATAATATGAGGACACCTAGAAGCAAATCCCCAGAACACAGTTATTTCTCTGCATGAATTCAGTGTAAAAATCTACAGGTTTTTCTGGTGAAGAGTGCTGTATGTTTTGATCAAAATTTTAAACAGACATCAATTTATTTGCTAGTTCCATTAGCACTATTCATTACCAAGTGGGAAAAGCACTGCCAGGAAAGAATGCTGAAATGCTGTCAAAGTAGCTTGATGTGTCCATGCATTTATTTGCTGTGCAACCCAACAGAGTTGAGCAACGCGTGGCTTACAACAACATACTGAAGCAGCACATTTTTTCCAGGGGAAAAAAACCCAAACAATCAATATTTATACACCATGCTTATTACTGTGGATTCTAGCATGTAAACTAACAACAATTCATTTACCATTTCCTGAGGACATGAACCTTATTACTGCATAACCTTACTCTGGTGAGCAGCTTGACTTTTTGCCCTCCCATTCCACCGTTGGAAATCAAAGTCAGACCAGCATTTATCAGTTTAATTAGTAACACGCTTGACATTCCCATCTAGTTCATTTTAGCACACTTTCCCTAATTGATGCTATTTGCTGAAAAGCCATTCAGATGTGGTGTTCTACTTGCTCAAACTCCTATCTCCTCATAAAGAGGAACGCCTCCACCATCAGAAGACCTCTTTGCTATACAGCGGCTCAGTTTTTTTCAGACAAAAGCTTCCAGAACTACTACTTTTTCTTCACAATTCATAGTTACTTTTAGATTTTTTTTTAAGCTTTAGGTGTAAAAATCCTTACATATATATATTCATACATATGTATAAAATACTAAGACCTTTACAACAGAGCCCTATAAAGTGAGGTTTACTGTTTCTGCACATAGCTTGCCACCACTTAGACTGTGGATCATTGCAATCATGTTGGACTGTTTGTTCAGTTCTTCCTTCTGCATTGTTACAAGCGCTTCTTTTTCTTCCAAGCGTCCTTCCAATTGGGATTTTTGAACTTCCAGAGAAGACACCTACAGAAAGAAAATGTTATCATTTCCTCCATTATCAATTGAAAAAAAAAAAACACAATACAGTGAAAGTTGAGTGGCTTGGCAGTGAATTTCAGCAAGTAATTAAAAAGCATCGTTTTAAAATTACAAGCTTGTTTCAGAAATATCTCTCAGCTATACATTCAGTGCACATGAATGATTGCAGCTATTGCCACACTTCAAAACATCAGATACCATGGGAAACCACCAACCCCCATGTTATCATTGTCCTATTTAAGCAGAAGTGTTCACAGTGAAGCCATCCACATTTCATTTCGAGCTCTCCACCAGTAAATATTTACTGTGAACAAGGGAAATATTTGCTATACACTGGATAATATTGCCTGGAGACAGACATTAGACTTTGCTTCCAGGGAATGGAAATACAGCAACTGCTTTGCCAGACTGCACACTTTGCAATTGCTGATCAGTTTGCATGTATAAATGAATTTCCACCTTGTGAGCTTAGAGGTGTGGGAAATAAGCTAAGTTTTGCTTCAGCTAATTGATGTATCGTTGTTAGTGTGATAGTACTAACAAAGAAGCCTTAGTAATAGTAGAGTCTAATAAACTGTATCCAATTAATCCCCAGAAATGCCCTTGGTCTGTCAAGGGATCCTTGTTCGCAGAGCGTTATCTAGGTGAAGAGAAACAAACTGGAACATGGCCTTCAACACAAAAACCCAAAGGGTAGGGGTATATCAATAAGGCCAAAGAAACCAGTCTGGTAAATCTGCCAAGTAGATGGTAGCAAAGACTCTGAAATAACGTGTACCTTAATCAACTAATCAAAGGCGTGTTTAGGATAATGATTTCGTAGAATAGGTGTATGTGTGCCTTATATGGGAAAAAGTGCAAAATAAACCTGTAATAGGTCAAGCGGTCGGGAAGAATGTGAGCTCCAACTTCTCAGCCAATGAGAAGGGAGACAGAAACTCAAGCGGCCGGGATAAAGGTATAAAATACCTGAAAGCTAAAAGATCATCGTGCATCTATTTTTGGTGCACCCGATTCAGCGCTGTTTCGTATTAATAAGTTATTATTTTTTTAACCTTTGCTTCGGTGACTTTGTCCTCTTTAAATTCTAAGATGTGAGTCGGTGTTTCTCACAGAGGCAAGGACATACAGGCTGCACTGAACTTTTAGGGATTTTGCTTTGTTTTTTAAACATTACCCGGTTAACTTAGTATAGCCAAACTGGTCTCTGTTTTGAAAAAAGACACTATTTTTCTTAGAGATAAAACTAGATATTTTAATATAATTTCAAAGACCAAAAAGAAAATCAGATGCATTTTGATGCACATGCAGCATACATACCTTATTACAGGGCACAAGAAAGGGGATAAAGTAAGCCAATCCACATTTTACAGTAGTCAAAACGACTAGAGAAGAACATGCTGTGTGTGCTGTATTCTCTTTAGTATTGCACTAGGGGGTTTTATTTTTTTCCCCAGTGTTATGTACTCACACACCATGCCTCAAATAGACTCATTAGAGCCCAACCCTAACATCTTTCCTCTTAAATTCAAGCTCAACTACTCAAAACTCAAAAGGTATAAAACTAAAGCTGACATAGTTTGTTCTTGTCCACTATATTGACTGCTCTAGTTTCTTTAGCCACTTTACCACTGAAATAACCGATAGAGTTGGTAAATCAGTATGTAGATAAAATTTCAGTCTCTAGAATTCAGGTGCAAATAATTCCTTACCTTGATACTCAGTTCTTTCCTTGCTTGTTCAGTTTTACTTAATTCCTTTCTAAGAATATCTATAGTTTGTTCCATATCTGCTTTTTCTTTCTGCTGAGCTTTCAGTTTTTCTTCCAAAACTATTTTCTGTTGCAAGGCTTAAGAAAACAAACACATTAAAAGATGGGTTGCCAAACTTAGAAAAGAGATACTGCATTACATGGGAAATAAGTACTTATTTATTTATTTTTTTTTTTTAAACTCAACATGGCTGCTAGTAATTGAATTACTGAGTAGTGCCACCTACTGCTAAGTTTTAGTGGCTGCTTCCAGTCATTTGCAGAAGAGTAATTTTCAGTTCCTACAAAAAATAGTTCTAGTAGACATGCTGTGAAAAGATACTGGAGCAACATATGATGCTGTGCAGAGACTCAGTGAAGTCCATAGAGTCTGGGAAGTCACATTAAGGTATCTTTTCACAAAACTGAAAATCTGCATTTGTTTCATTCCACCGTTAAATTACGTACCACTGGTTAACTTTAAGAGGTACAAATGACTTAGTAAGATATAGCTGCTTATCTAGAGCACTTAATAACAACATCCAGGTAAGTGACTTACTCTCCTGTAGCTGTTGCTGTAATTCTTTTCTGTGATCTTCAGCTTCTGCCAACTGTGCAGCAGTCCTAAAATTGCAGAGAAATAAATTTTAACGATCAAAGCGAGATATGCCATAGTTTTTCTGTCCTAAGCTAGAATGATTTTTGTATCGTTTCCAATTGCTGTTGGGAGCTTCAAATCAACAAACCCATGAATTTGCAGGGTGTGAGTACAGACAGATTCTATTCCATCACCACCCCCCCACCCCGCCCGGCCCATGAGATCGTAATTTCCTGTCTCCGATCAGACACATGGTTGAAACTACTGAAAAGGTTCATACTTGGATCTTAAACACCAGAATCTGTTGCCTTTAATTACAGCCACATTCAAAATACCATGATAGAACTGAAATTGTCATTCAACCTGAGCCAAAACTCACTAGCATGAGTGAATGAGTATGCTGGGCTTTCAGCACGCTCCTGAATCAACAATACCATTGGTACAACTGGTTTCAGGCGTTAGCCATGCAAGCACATCTAGGCATAAAGATTTTCCAATACCCTTCTGAACTTCTTCCATATTGTCACAAAACTCAGCAAAACCAACCATTTTATAAGATATCGCCATATCACATACATAGGTCTGCTGCAGTCCTCACTAGTTAGGATAATATTTAGTTTCCACAATCATTTAATATCTAGGTACTGTCATCTACCAGCTCTACAGCTGTAACCTGAACACTTCATACTCTGTGAAGCTCATTTACTTTTTCTATTACTAGCTAACATAATTTCTAAGGCATATTCTAACTGCCAGTTGCCTTGCCTAGATGGCATCTACTTTCATTCTTGTTTACTTCTTTATCCACTTATTATTTACCAGTTTCTAAGCTGCAGCCTCTAGTAAGAGAAAGGGGGAGTGTATTTTCATGGTCTCCATTTTATTCGTGGCAGTTCAAGAATATCGATATAATAACTTGCTTTTTAAAACCACCAGTTTTCATCATAGTATCTCCCCAATTAAACTGACTGAAAGTAAGCGTCCAAATTTATCCAGTAGCAAACTAATGGAAACATTTTCATACAGATACACTCGAATCAGAACTCAAGGCAGTGATTTGGACTGCTCCTATTACTGACAAGGCAAGAACCTGGGAAAATGAAGTGAACTTTGCAATTAAAAGTAAGAATAGCATTCTGTTTCTAAACTGGATACAAGGCCTGCTTATAAGCATGTTTCAAAAGATATATGCTGCAATATTAAGTATTAAATAAGACTTCTCAAATAGGAATCCTATTCCCTTAGTTATACTGGTGAAAGGTATATTAGACCTCTGTTTTAAGCCACGAAAAGCCATAATTAGTCCTCAAGAAGACATAAGTAATGATAGTTTTATGGTTGCGGAATTAACTTTTATATCCCAGACAGAATACTGACCATCACTATTTCTTATATAATCTTAAAATCAGTTTAGTAGGGTTGGGGTTGTTTTTCTAATCTGATAACATTGCAGAGAAACCTTGCAGGCTAAAAGGGAATACATTAAAGTCTCTGGATGGTAACAGCAGCTAAGAATTCAGCAACCACCAAAAGACACTTCCTCACCCTGCAAATGCATGCAAGAATTGGATTGTTTCATTACTGTTTTTAATTCCTACTGCCACTGAAGCCTGTGGGTTTTCCTCCCTGCCCCCAACCAATAAAGGAGTAAACAAAATAAACACCACTACTACAGATTTTAATTTAACATACACACATAATCCTTGAAGCATCATTTGCTTCCTCTACCTCCACTTCTCAGACATTGCTTAAAGCAGAATTGAAAAATTGAGATTAAAGGGATATTTAGTTTTACTGTTGGTCTTTAATTTGCTTTAAAAAGACTGAATTGAACTTACCTGTCATTCTGCTGCTTGAGTGATTCCATTTGTTTATTTACTGAATTTAATGTAGTCTGTAGATCTTTATATTGTCTTTCAGTTGTTTCATACCTACAAATGAATTAGGGGGTTATGGTTGAAGAGTGTAAGTGCTTTTGAAAAGCTTTTACTTCAAGAGTTTGTCAACTGAAAATACTTGACATCATCTGTGCCATCATCCCACTGAAGCTAAAAGCAAGATGTTTTGCAGGGGAGAAGGTAGTGTTTGGTTGAGGATTTATTGGTGGTACTTTATTGTTTGGGTGCTGGGTTCTTTGTATGTGTTTGTTTGCTTTAAATAAACATACCTGGAGGAAGGCAAAAAAACCCTACACAACCAAACCAAGCTTCAGCGGATCCCGCACATATCTTTAATTATTATCAGGAAGCAACCTGCCTCCAGCAGAAAACTCTCAGGAACTGACAAAACATACAGATGCCTTCAGAAATTTAACATACACAAACGGTTATAAATTAACTATTTGTACTCATCTTTTAAGGGACCCTTTGAGTCAGTCTATGACCTCTTGCTGTCTGGTGATACCGAAAGTGAACACACTGAAGACAATGCAATGTCCAATTAATATAAGTTTGAGGCAGATGTCATGCTGTAAGCAAATGTTTTCCTACTTTCCTTCCAAAAGGAAAATTCTCTCCCCTTATGTCAGTTACCTGATTGTTTTTAAGGAACTGTACATTTTAAGTGTGCAGATTGTCCAGAAATCAAATTTTTGCTTTATAAACACATTGTAAAGATCAGAAACCTATTTTAATCCTACTTCAGAAAACGTAAAATTATTAGATACTAGATTGAGGCTGTTTTATTTCACAGAAATTAGTCACATACCTGTTCACAGAGTGTATGGCTGCATACAATTCAAGCAAAAAAAGAGGGACTTCCACAACAACCATACTAGATAGTATTCAAGAAACCCCACAACAGAACTTTTATACAGCCTCCATCAATGACTACCTTATTGGCAGAAAGCAGTATGCCTTCAAAATTGTATAATAGAATGCCTGCTCCCCTTATTAAACAAGAAACCTGCTCTCAGCATTATGAGCTTCTTTGCGTTGCTGACACCCAGTGACGAGACCAGCTCCTGTGAGTTAAAAAGCCAAAGCTCTTGGAAGCCTTTATTCTTCCAGAGCATATTCTATTTTCATCAATAGTTTCTATCCTTACGCACAATTTGTATCTCGCATGTCCTTTTTTCAGCTCAAGATCCTAAAGAAATAATGTCTATAAATATTTCGGGGCACAGAAGGTGCCTCCTTCAGTCAAATTTGCTACCGAAGCGATCAAAGATGCTCCTACCTTATATAAGCATACTGTATTGGCTGCTTCTTCAGACTATTTATGCCATTTCATCATGACAACATATATGATCAAAGAAAAAAGCCAAGAGCATTGTATAATACTAATAAAAACTAAGCTTTGTTAATTCTGTTTCATAGAGAATAATGCTCCCTTTTATACAAAGTTTCCTGAACTTGACCTTCAACATCTACAGCTTTAGTTCTCACTCCATTTAAGATATTAATTTCTTGAATGCCTTAAGTTAACCTCATCAACATGCATATAGGAGAAAAAAAAATTATTTTTTCACTTAAAAACATGAAGTAGTATGTAATGCTGTCCTTCTAATGTGCTTCGCTCAGTAAAGGGCTTCATCACTCTTTGAACAGGAAGTATTTGCTTAGAGGTCTTACACGCCTTACCTCTGAAGAAGATCGACAAAGGATTTTTTCAGTATTTCCTGTTCTTCAGCAACTGTTTGTAATTTCCTGTTGTGTTGAAGGAGCTGTTCAATATCAGCCTGTGCTCTTTCAGATTCTACCTGCTGAGCTTTCAGCAAATCATTAAGTTCTTCATTTTTTCGTTCTGCATCCTTCAGCATTGCAGCAAGAGTTCTTGCCTTTGAGTGGAAAGACACCCCCCACCAAAAACCCCCCACAGTTATAAGCAATTCTGTTTCATAAGTCACTTTGTAATAGGCATATTTGAGGCCACAGATCTAACACTAAAATGCCATCAGCTACACTAGGAAATGGATTTCTCTCACCTAACATTAACTACAAATTACTGTGCTCACTCTAAATTCCTTTAGCTGCCCTTTATAGATAGTGTGAGGGGGGAGGGAAGAAAAAAGTAAAAGATGATACATCTTAGCTATGAATTTAGTAATCTGCAGCCCAATCTTTATTATAACCTTTATAGGACAGTAATTATTTGGAGTTTTCAATGTACACCTCAAATGCATACTCCACAGAAGCAAGTCTTATTTGAAAGTTCATCTTTGACAAGTGATTAAAAGGCACAAACAGGAAGCAGTCCTACACGTACCAGCAAATGCTATATAGAATTTTAGTAAGTGGTTTTATTAATTTTCAAGATGTCTACCATTAAATTAACACTAATGGTTAACAAACTATAATCAGTAGAGTAGGTTAGTTTCGTTGACTTCCTATAAGGGAAAGGACATAATTCCCTATAAGGGAAAGAAAACTGTTCCAAAGAACAATCCAGAGGAAAACAGGATGTTCACAATGAAAATTAAAGACTGCTCTAACTTGCAAGCATAGCTTACAGCTATGCAGTATAGAGTTTCAACACCTGCAAACACTGTTAAAGCTACTCAGCCAGTTATTACTCAGCCCTGCCCCAGAGTCCCAGAAGGATTCTCCTGCTACTCACCTCGGACTCAGCCTGGGCTCTCTGACATCGGTACTGAGCCATCAGCCTGTCGCCCTGAGCCAGAGCTACCGCCTTTGTTTCCAAAAGGTCCTGCAGCCTAGTTTCTTTAGACTGTACACAGGAAGAACGTTTGTCATTAACATTTTCTGAATGTACAGGCAGTAATGTACCCATACACGTTAGGTCATACTCACTGCTAACGCCGACAGCTTCTGCTCATACACATCCATTATGTCAGAAATCCTCACGTCGGTGACTGGCTCCTTCATCTGTGGAAATGTTTTCCAATTACTGCTACAGTAAATTTGTGTTCGCTTAGACAGGTAAACTGTGCCTAAAGAGCTCAGTAGTTTTGCAAACTCCATCTGTCCACTAGCTTTTTTGAGTTTTTATTTTTATATCTGAGACTGTCTGCTCAAATGCACCCACCTGACTCTTGCGAAAAGTTTGTGAATAATTGAACTATTCAGGCTGAAAAGAATTCATCTGTGGAAGACTATCAGTTCAGCACTGTAAAAATGTAACTTAAACCAAACTAAGCTAAAACAGCTCCTCTTGGCCTAGTCTTTGCTGGAGAATCAGCAGTTCCCAGATAGGACACCCAAAATAATTTGCCCTAATATTAACAGCACAAAATGCACATGACTAAAAATCCTTGTTCATACTCTGTGGCCTTCTCAACACACAGATTATCAGAAAAGGTTCAGGAAACAATACTATCCAGAACAGAACTTACTATGTTAACTCATTGATTTACTAGAGAAAATTTACCGTATGAGGTACAACAAGTCCTAAGTGTTTATTAAAATATATGCCCGAGTCAAGTGAAAATGCTACTTGGTCATGTCAGGGTATTTTTTCTTAGGCAGTGCTACTGTAACACCAGTTTTGAGCCACTCTTCATATACGCTGATGCATGACCAAGTGCAAGCTATCCCAGCTGTTCATACAATGAACACCTACTGAAAAGCTACCATCTCCACACCATTATGTAAGAAGTTCTTGTGCATATTAATCATAGCCTCCACATAGCTCCTGTTCTCATTTTCCTGTCCCTCAAGTAGGAAACACAGAGTTTCTTTTCCTGCATGCAAACTTTAATTTCTTATGTCCTTTTAGATATTATTACTACAAGAAAAGCTTCCATAAGTTCGCTTCACTCTCTCTGTACAGTAATGCTATTAAAAATATTTTCTGTTATGTTTTTACATACATTTAAGCTTCACACAACATAGAGAACGCACACAGAAATGAAGTACTGGGTATTTTAAATGAATGCATATATTGATTTTTAAAGGGAAGTTCTACTAATTAGAAGGTCCAAGAAAAAAATCACTTGATTCATCATCAACTTTTTCCCCTAAAAAAAAAAATAAAAATCAAAGTAGCTTTACAATCTGTCACACTACTGGAAGCTGCTCCACCAGTGCCGTTAGGCACCTGTGGCTGCTTGGACTTAAATTATCATGTGCACAGCAAAGCACCTACAGACTGTCCCATGCAATCCTGAAGAGGATGATCAATGGGAGAATCCAGTGGCAGGGGATGAAGTAAGCCAATGAAGATTCACTTGACCTTTTTCTCTATCACTCTAGCAGCTGACAGAGCTTCGTTCTTATCAGTTACAACAAGGAGAGGAGGTTTGCTAAGCTAAGGCAACGCTGCTAATACAGATATCAAGGCATTATCAAGCACTTCCTGTTAATTTCTCTGATTTGCATAGCATTCTTTTAAGCCGAAAGAAAACAGAACAGTAATCCATCATTCAGTCTAAAGCAGCTACAAAGCAACTAACTTGCTTTGAACAGAAGAGACAGAGGAAATATATTCAGTACTTGACAGCACAGCTCATAAAGAAGTGCCCGAGCGCCTCATTCACAATGCATCTTGCTGCAGAGGGAAGCAACAACTTTCTTCTGAAGCAATAATACTGCCTTTCCAAGAAGGCCAGAAGAATTGAACTGCAAATGCTAAAGAGTCAGCTGCAGGGAAGAAAAGGGAAACATTTGTATGTGTACCACGTAAGGGATGCACCATACTCTGGTTCTAAAGCAGCATATCATCTCATTTTTATCACAGCCTACTTCTTAGGAACTGGAGGGTGAGGGGGCTCCTTGTATGTGTCCCAGCAGATCTAAGCAGTTGCGACTGTATCTGCCACTTGTCTCCACATCTGACAGCTAGAAGAGTGTGGGCAACCCCACTGGAGAAAGGGATTTCAATAAGGACCTCAGCTTCTGATGTAGCACAAAGAATCATCGTTGACTTCTGCTCAGGAGCTCAGTAAAAGGAGCACATTCTAAATAGGTAGGAATCTAAACTGAACTCCACTGATACATGCACTACAGCCTGACACTTGGATTTTAATTTCCATCCCTTCCACCCGAGTAAAAGAGGGCCAAATATTTAACAAGAGTAAATAAATTCTACTAACCTCTAGTCCAGAATGAAGTTTTTGTATTAATTCCTGAATATTTGAGGTTGTGGATTCATCATTTGAAGGACAGGAGGAAGAACACCTCACTGAATTAACACTGGTCATGGGTGACTGCATTTGGATTCTTTTTGACGTGTGCTCTGTTTCTTGTTGTCTGTAAGCATTATTTGCTGCAATGCTTTCACCAAGCCTGTACAAACATAAAGGCTATTTATGAAACAACTTGCTACAAGTATCATTGCAAGGATTGAAGAGAGCAATTTCATAACATAATTAACTTTTCTTTTGTTGCAAAGTACAGAACTGTCACACTTGAATTATCACACAACATTTAGACGTAGTATCAGATACATGCCCAAACTGAACAGAGATACAGAAAGTAGAAAAAAAAAAAGCAAGCCTGTCATTGCAAACCTTTTAAAACAAATGCAGTATCTCACTGCGTGCTGAGAAAGGGCATGGTGTTCAACTCTTCTTGAGCAGAACAGCTCATCTGTCTCTTATTAGCCTGAGAAACAGGTTATTTCACATGTCATTGTTCATCATAACTAGGCCACTGTTTGTAATTCGGGAGACGGAGAAAGTATTTAGTAAGAATTTTTATTAGGCATAAAAATAAGAAGATTGAATCATGAAAAGGTAGAGTGCTACCAATAAACCGTAGGTTTTCCTTGCCTATGATGTCATTTTACAATACTATGTTAAGTACAGCACATTTCATTTTGTAAGTTTTAGCCAATTTAAGTATGCACATAAAAGTGCAATGAATTGAAATTTGTACAGGGAAGAGAAGACAAAAAGTTAGACAGAAATAGTTACAGTACTTATATTCCAGTGTCCATATGTAACTTGTGGTTAGTATTTTCAAGGCAGCTATTAACGACATGTTCCAAATCAGAGAATAAGTCAAAAGAGCTAATTTTTGAGGCATGAGTCAAAAATCTCTTCCTCTTGATAAATTCCTTAATTACTAAGTTATCCCAACCACTTCACTGAAGTGCTGTCTCAATTGCTTCCTAAGTGATCAAAGCCTATTTTTAACTTGCATTTATAGACATGTTATTTGGCTGTTCCATTGTGTAACTCCAGGCATATTGGATTATACAGATCCTTCATTCTTCCAGCCAGACCATTTGTTACTGGCTATTATAAAAATATTTCCTATATCCACAAAAGACATCTCATCTGGAAGTCCTTTCAACCAACTCCAATTTTTGTTTTTCAAAACCTCTGCTAACAAAAAGGGAAGTTTCAGGTTGGTTTTCCAGGTTGCAAAGACCATGATATAATTGAAGACTGGTTTTTCCTATTTTATTACATCTACAGAGACAAGGACTTCATCAAATAGAGCTTCTCAATATTTTCCCCCCTATTTAAACCATCTTAAATACGACCTGAACTGTCATCTGCCGGTGTCTTATCCTATTGCGCTCTGTTGTAAAAATTACTGCAAAAGGGTAAGCAAAGCTTTAGGAACTGAAGGGTGACAGCTGAGACAAAGTTCAGTAGAGAGAAATCTGACCGTCAGAATATTAGATACACTCCAACTAGAAAGTTCCAAGCACAGACTTCAGACAAGTGAGCCCTGAGGGACAGATTCAGTCACGACTATGCCCTCTCGGATCTATGTTAATTGAATACCATCAGCATTTGAAATACTTCCTTTGAGCTCCAAGATCACTATTGTCTCTTAACTGCAAATAAGAAGAAAGTCCTCTCTCTGATGAACTGAAAGTAGTATGCCAAGAAATGTGAATATCAATAAGCCCATAAAAAAGTCAAATGCTACCAGACTATCACAAAAATAAACTTACACTATGGCAGGAAAATCTGGTAAGGGTGCAGCCTCAAACAGTATTCTAAGTCCCATTTGGACTTGCTCCCTTTGGTCTGATGTTAAAGCCAATGTCAAAGGTGTAATCAAGCGTTGATCCTAAAAAAGAAACTACTTCGGTAAGAAACAAGATATAATGGTCAACAAAAACAAAACAAAAAAACCAACCCCAAACTACCCAGACATCACAATACCAAGGCCCATGAGCACAGAAACGTTTTATTCAAAACTTAAGCTACCTTCTTAAAGTTTGCCATTCTAAGCCTGAAGTCAATGGAAGAAAAGTGATTTTAAAAAACAGTTTACAGTTTGGACCATTTAGAAACATGATTTCCCATTAAAGCCAACGCAACAAATGAAGAGACTATGGACCTGGACAGGTTTGAGGTGAGCCCGTGCAGGCTTGGTTGAACTTCATAAGGCTAAGTGCAAGGTCCTGCACCTGGGACGTGGCGGTCCCAAGCACAAACACAGGTTGGGTGGAGAACATCTAGAGAGCAGCCCTGAGGAGAAGGACTTGGGAGTGCTGGTGGATGAGAAGCTCATCAGGAGCTGGGGGTGTGCACTGGCAGCCCAGAAAGCAACCGCATCCTGGGCTACATCAGAGGAAGTGTGGCCAGCAGGGCACGGGAGGTGATTCTCCCCCTCTACTCTGCTCTTGTGAGACCCCACCTGGAGTCCTGTGTCCTGCTTTGGAGTCCCCAAAACAGGAAGGACATGGACCTGGTGGAATGGGTCCAGAAGAGGGCCACAAAGATGATCAGAGGGCTGGAGCACCTCTAATGTGAAGACAGGCTGAGAGAACTGGGGTTGTTCAGCCTGGAGAAGAGAAGGCTCCAGGGAGACCTTATAGCTGCCTTACAGTACCTGAAAGGGGCCTACAGGAGAGATAGGAAGGAACTCTTTATGAGGGAGCAAAGAGACAGGACGAGGGGTAATGGTTTTTAATTGAAATAGAGGAGATTTAGATTAGATCCCTGGAGGTGTTCAGGCCCCTGGATGGGGCCTGGAGCCACCTGGTCTAGCGGGAGGCCTCCATGGGCATGGGAGGCAGCTGGAACCAGACAATCTTGAAGGTGTCTCCCAAGTCTAACCAGTCCATGAGTGTATGACAAGAGGAGATGGCCTCTAGCTGCCCACGGGGAGGTTGAGGTTGGCCATTAGGCCACTGGATGGTGCCTGACGGGGCTGTGAAGGCCCGGAGCAGGCTGTGCAGGGAAGTGGTGGAGTGGCCCTGGCGGGAGGTGTTTGCAAGAGGTGTAGGCATGGGGGTGAGGGAGAGGGTGCCGTGGTGGAGCTGGGAGGGCTTGTTTGGGGTGTGGAGCGTGTGTGGTGCAGGGTGTTTTGGAGGGTGGGCGAGTGTGTGGGTGTGTGTGGTGCGGGTTTGGGAGGTGGAGGGCAGAGCGGGGCGGTGTGCGGGCTGTAGGGGGCGCTGTGCGCGCCGAACGCGGGTGGGTTCCCTGTAGCCGAGCGGGCTAGCCGCTTTCACGCGGTCCAAGGGTCAATCGGGTTCGAGTCCCACCGCCGCCTTTTGCCACCCCGACCCCACACCCCCCTCCCCACACACGCTCCCTGCTTTTACACACACACACAACACCACCACCACACTGCCCTTCAAGATTAATTCCTTCAAGTTTTCAAGTGCTTGATTTTCATCTGAAAAAGTCACAAGCTTATACGTATTTTCTAAGGACTCCAAAACTCTCATTTCTACCCATTAAATTACACAATTGCCGTTCTTGAAAGAAAACCTCCAAAAGAGCATGACATGTTTGACTCTGAGTTACTTTTCCATCTACAAAGTAAATTGTTAAGGTACCACCTGACCAATACTTACCAGAAACTGTTTTGACCATGCAAAGTCACAAGTTAGGTATCTAGATTCAATAGTAACCAACCCCACAAATAATTAGATGGTTGTGGTAACTTTTTTCTAGTTTGCTACCATTAAAATGCAATCCTCACACAGTCTTAAAAGGATAATTCTTACCAGGCCGCTGAAGTATGATTGCACATGCATTACTGAAATAAACGACTGGAGTAAAAGGAAACTGCTTTTACTTTAGAAGAATTAACAATTAAACAACTTTAAGAATTGTGCCCAGGGGACTATATTTTCCTAGAAGTTTTACCACTTCAGAGATAAGCATGCAAAACATTCAGAACTGAAACTTACTACAGTGCAGTGACACTTCCCTTCACAGACACATGTTGTTCTTAAGAGATATTAAAATCATACCTGTAAAATTTTGTAGAAGCTGACCTCCATACCAGGTACATCCTGCTTCAGTTTGCTCATAAGATCAAGTGTTTTCAAAATAAAATCAGCAGCAAGTTTGCTTTTAAACATATAAACAGAAAAATAAAGCAGGTGGGGGGAAAAAAAAGAGTGAGATTTTTCAAGTCAGCGCTGAGAAATAAATTCAGTTAATTTAAAAGAACAAATAAACACCTTCACAAAGAAATTAATATGACTAGCAACGCAACAGTGCCAACATCAAGAGTTATCACTGAGTTCCTCAGGCACGCTGCTGAGCTTCTCCAGCATGCCAAGGACAGCAACAGTGAAGGCCAGAAAAACACTTTAAAGTGGAGAGTGAGGAGCATTTAATCATAGGTGAATTATATTACACTGCTTTTTGGGCCATATAACTCTTAGGTATGTCGATATTCAGGTTAATGACACTGAGCTTAAAGTATGTATATTTCATTTTCAGTGCAATGATTCCCCCCTCCATCACTGATGGGTGATGTTTTTGAACTCTGGTTGCATAAAATCAAGATAAAACATTAGGTGCCACAAGGTTTAGGTGCATGAGGTTTAAGACTGCTGTTCCACATAAACAGATCTCCAGCTCGTGCTGAAAACAGTATCTGCACATTTAAGCTAGGTTTTACTTACTGAACTGACCAGTGACCTTACTTTCTATTGCCACAAAACCCACTAAGTTTCACTTAAAAATCTATCGATTTACATGCATTTAAGTGGTACTTTCAACTACAATATACTTTCTATCGGAACAATATCACAACTCGCATACAAGTCTTGCTTAGATAAATTTGCATGCTCACCACATTTTAGAGTCCACTACTTTTGTCCCAAAACCAGTATCAATCCCACGATCGGTAAACTGGTGTTCTATGAGAGACGTGCATTGGCTGGCAGTCAGTGCCTTCGAGGCACGCATTTTCAGTATGTCATCTCTACAGAGCAGTAGACTGAGTTAAGAATAAACACAATATACTTATGTCTAGATGTTGGCACCAAAAGGAAACATTTTCTAATAATAAAGGACACAAAAGTAAGTGTATCAAAGCACAAGAGCCTTCAAAAATGCTTTTAAATTCAACTATATAAGCCACTTAAGTCATGCTTCTCTGAGAAGTGAAGCAAGCTTTACTTTTCAATTAAAGCACACACTTACTTGGAAACAGACAGCTAAGGGAAACCACAATAAAATGAGTTACATGAAAAAAGATAATGAATAAGCAGCGGTGAACAATCAGTCTTCAATATAAGAACTAGTTATCTAGGAGTGAATTAGCAGAGAGGCTACTTTGCAGAGCTCTGCTTAGATGCAGGACTATGTCCTGCAATCATATCCTTCTTACTACATGACACTGAACACTAAGGACTCCAAGAGGAGTGTAAAACTGTATTGTTCCACATTATTTTTCCTTATTTCACTCATCTAAATTTATATCATATTTCGCTGGGAGCTAGACTTGACTTAGCTAGGAAAAAATACTATACTGATCAAGAAGATGGCAACTCAAATTCCCCTTGCAATTTCAACAGAAAACACTGATCTTCATTTTTGATCTGTAAAGTGCTTCTACACTGTTGAATAGCCACCACATTTTATCCTGCACCACTACATGACCAAATAATTTCACAGCAATTAGAAAGCTACTTCTGATCTTTCAAGATGACACCAGTCCTAAGTAAAATTAGAGCAGTTATTGTCATTAAAAGCTATTAAGGTAACCCAAGAAGGACATTTCTTCTCACATCTTAGAACAGATCATCGTGGGGCAATAATAAATTAACTGCCCATAAGCACATGAAAAGGATATTTGTCAGGACATTAATAGCCTTAACCATTCTTTCACACTTTTTCTTCACTAATAGCTCATCCACAATCTGTTCCGGCATCTGAAGATGATCAAGAAGAACAGGCAGCAAAAGATCCACAAAGTGTTCGGCTGAGGCACTGTTCCCACTATTAATAACATCCTGTAATAAAGACATTTTATGTCAATATTTAAAATTACAGAAAAAGGAAGCCAAGCCTACTCTACCCCTTCCTCCACCAGCCTGTCTCCTAGCTTTCCCAGTGTCTTGCTATTTCAGGTTTAAGACTGCTTATCATTATCATACTGAAAGAGGAAATTTAACAAAGAGCTCAGAAACAGCGGAAACTTCCTCACTTCTACAAGTCTGAGAAAGCAGTTCTTGGATAGCTTTGTATCTACCTCATGACTTCGTTAACTGCCCATATCTTCCACTTAACTTTCAACACAAATGTATTTTTAAAACACAGCATATCTTTAAAAGAAAAGTTGTTTCACAAAGTATGGAAATTCTAGAACACGAAGAATTTTACTTACTGTGTATTTTTACATGCTGTTTTTCAAGTAAAATGCTAAGAGTTGTTTAAAACTAAATTAAAAAGATAGCTGCTAAGAAGCTCTTTGAACTCAATTATCAGTCTTGGTACCTCAACAATTTCTTTGAATAGTTGCAATGCTAGAACTGCACAGTCTTCAGAGCCTTCCAATGGTTGGTTTGAGAAGTGCACCAATGCAACAGATGGTTCAAAAGTCTTTGAGCGAGTCACAAATCTGGTATTTGCAGAGACTGGCAAGGCAGACGGTTCCAGTATTGCCTGCCGCAGGGTATGACGCAGTTCTACCACAGAACAGAAGGCGAGCAGCAGCTCTAAGATCTGTGTGAAGTGAATGAGAGTTCAAATGCTTTTAAATCAAGTACTTATCAGAAATTGTGACTCCCGTAGCACAAAACTAAAGAGATATGGAAACCCCTACACTCCTTTCAGCACTTGAAAGTTTTCTGAATAATAGTTTTCTTTCCTTAAAAACCAAGTCAGCAGCAGGGACACAGTTCATTGGACTGGTGAAGGCTTGTGAGGGTTAGTATTCAGTGTATTGCTTTCTCCTCTTTTTAAAAAAGCATGACTGCTGGCTAGCAATCTAATAAACACTAGAAATGTGTATAAACTCAGAATGAAGAAAGCTCTGGAAGGGAAAATACTGAGACACAAACGGATGCACATGTATGTACTCAAGAGATGAAGAGGAAAGCACCCTGGAAGCTCCCTGTCAACATGCCTTTTTAAATAGAACCAATAAACAACAATAAAGAAATCACATACACACACATTAGCATTTATTATTTACTATGACGTGAAAGACATTTATGAAAAAGCTTAAAGCTTAAGAATTGTTTCACAGATGTTTTTAATCCAAATGTCTTCCCAACATTTCATGTTTTAGCCTTTAAGAATAGATAGCCAATATTTCATTTACATGAGGTGGCAGTGAGACAAAGTTGAATGCAATAGTTAACTGCTTAACCAAATGTGGCATCAGTTTGTCCAACTAATATGAAATAACTTATTAAGTCTTTGAATTTAGCATCATAGCTCCCTGGTGTTCAGTTCAACGTCTGAGTAGTATTAATTCAAGTTTTAGCCAGTGAAGTGGGGTACACGCTGCATTTCTGGCAGATCCAAACATTTCTTCTTAGCTATAGCACAAAAGGGGGTTTTGTTGCCATTTTACCTTTATGTCTGTTGCCTGAAAGCAGATACACATAATCTGGCAAAACCCTCAACCATTACAGATTCAACCTGACAGCCTTCTGAACAACAAGAAAATATAAGCTTGGTGAATACTATAGGTCACTTCAGAGTCCTAAAGTCAATGTATTCATTATCAACCCTTGTACACAAGGAACCTACTTACGACTACAGAAGTGAAACTAGATTAGGAGTTGTACCCTCTAAGCCTTAAACTGAAAAAGTATAAATACCTTAGCTGATGAATCAGGATCCCTTCCATGAAGAAGACCTAATACTTGACCAAGACATGAGGTAAAGTACTCATATCTACAGCATACGTAAAGGAGGAAAAAAAAAAAAACAAACTTAACCTGGAATTTCACCACATTCAGACATTTACACAGTGATGAATGCATGTGCCCTGTTCTCCTTCCTACCCCCAAACACTTCAAGTACAGTGATATTTTTAATAGAAATTACATTATCAAAACTCAGTTTAAAAATATTGTAAGAACGAAAACAAATCCCTTAAAATAAGCTAACATTTTCCAGCTATGTACTGCTAGATTTAGATTGAAATTCGGCAACTAAATTCTACTAGCTGAATTTCCAGAACCACTAGTCAAGCCCTCCACAGAATTACTCCATTAACACCCTCCAGTAAAATTATTACAACTTCAACCATCCTACTGCACTTCAAGATAACATAGGCCTGTAAAAGGGAAAATAGCTACTCCTCAAGTCATCTGACTACCGATACTGTCCAGACAAAGAATTCCTAAACACAACTGTTACATATTCCTTAAATGACAAGAGTTTGATTCACACTTCTGTGTGAAACTAGTAACACAAGAATCCTTTAGTTTCAGGTACAGCAGTTATAAATCACTGGCAACATTCAAAAAGCATCTAGGGATTTTTTTCTAATGTTTGGTTCAGAATACATAGAGCATACAGCAAAGGAACTGAACAAGAGCTTAGGAAAAATATCCTGTACTTCAATTAAAGTGAAACCGTACCTGGTAAGATAATGTGCAACTTTGGGGTTCTTCAGAAGATCCATGAGTAGGTCAACAGAGTATATTTTTGTTAGAGTACCATCTCCATTTACAACAATATTGAATATTAACTGAAATGTCTGATGGATATTTCGAGCATGAAAGAGCTGAAAGGAAGAAGAAAGTTATATATGGGCACATTTTTTCTTTGCTGGGTCTCTCGCTTATTATAACTAGCTGGATTAAAACTTACTAGGAATTATAATTTTCTTTTGCTAGTGTAACTACTGATTTTATATACAACTTGAGAATAGAACAGTCTTCAAAGTATCACTTACTTTTTCTCCTACTTCTTCATTTAAAGTAAGGCTTGATAATACTGAAAGTGCAAACACAACCATAGTCAAATTACTATGGGCCAGGAAACTTATTAAGGTACGATAGAAACTCTTCACATTATTCTAAAGCAAAAAAGGAGAAACATAGGTATTAAAAAATTTATTCTGTTCTGTAAAACCACCAAACTTACAGATTGTACATATTTATAAATAAGCCATACAAATCATCAATAAGAATATAAAAATATATTAGAATGATAACTGTTCTCTAGGAAATCTGTTTCTATGTTCTGCTGCACAATACTGGTGTTGATGCCAATAAATAAATTATCTGTTGAATCTGTATAAGGAAAAATAAGAAAAACAAACCCAAGGAAGAAATGGCATCATTATTTTAAAGAAAAATGTGAAAGTAATTTTGCTCAAGTCTCTAATAGAAAATAACCACTGAAAATTGACCCCCACTCCTCCTCTGCTCACTGATCAGATCTCACAATAGTTCCGCCTTTCTTCCAAGGTAAACAATAGAACATTCACTGCCATGTAGATTTTTCAATTTGTAAACACAAATTCATAAGTTACATTTGCATTGATTTATGAAGAGACCTGTATCTGAGCTGCTCAGATACAGATGTGTATTTGAAGATTCAAGGGCCTGACATCAAGATCCGTCATATTTTATTGATTTATCTTTTAAAAGGCAAATCTTTCTTGGCCAATGTTAATGCAGCTTATCAAAAATCCAACTACAACCTTTATATGTTAACAACATTTGGTTTTTCTAAGGAGGAAAGTTCAAATGTTAAATTCACCTTTCATTAGCAGAGAACAGTTACAGAAATTCAGTGCAACAGAAATTGCTAGTGCAACAACAAAGGAACGTTGAGAAAGAAAGAGAATGCTCAGCTTCCTGCTCTATTAGTTATTTTCTCCAGTACAGGAGGAACAACTGCCAACTCTGCAGAACATACAGGTCAGGGTTATTATTGTGTAAATAAATTAAAAAAAAATACTAAGCTAAGGCCCCACAGTGAAGCAACCCTCTTTTGCCCTCAAACCAGAGGATTATACCAGAAAACCAAAACTCTTACCAAAGATTTTATCTGAGTTTGAATAGATAAGTTGTGACGACAGAGATTTGCCAGGAGTCCTAAACATGGTATTGTTAACTCGTCTTCAGCGGCTTGACTTAAAAGAAAAGTCCAGAAATTTAAACAAAGATGGTTTTACTAAAGCATCCAGAAATTATTTACAAGAATTTGTGGGTTGAGGGACATTTTATTTTGTTTTGTTTTTTAATTAGACACCATTCCATCAAGCAAAGCAATATCAGATTTTAATCCCCATGGTGTGGGCAGTTTTTAACTCAGCACATCTTTAAAAAAAAAACAAAACAGTATTAGGGATCAATGCTATCAGAAGTCCTTTATTTCAGGTGCTTTTAATAGTCATTAGACCTCTTACAAAGGTTAATATGACTTCTGTGCAAGTGCCCAACTTAAGTCTGCTCCTAATGATAGGCAGGAATTTTTTCCTGGCTTTACTCTTTGTTAGCTCCCTGCTCCTGGGAGTGTGGGGGTGGGCTAAAAGGACAATTCATATTCGTCACCCAAAATCCCACAATCACTGCATTTGACAATCTGTAACAACATGTTTTTCAAATAAAAGTGTTAACTTCAGAACAAAAATGCAACAATTCACTCTGGAAACCAGGTTAGTGCAATATGTGAGTGGCATTCAGAAAGTTGAGAAACTTAGATATTTCCCATAAGAAAAACCAACTAAGTACAGACTTACACATGATGCATTAGAAATGAAAGTAACTCTTCGATGTTGGCACCAGCGCAGAAGATGGGAACATTGTAGGTTAGCCTCTGCAGCAACTGAATACTCTGAGGAAATAAAAAGCTATTCACATATGTCTTTCCTATAGCGTCTCACTGAAGAATGTTACAAGTTACAAAGGCTGAAACTGAAAGGACAAATAACAATACACCCCAACTAAATTAATTGTAATCAGAGCGTAACACAGCAATTACATGAACTGCTGCAAGTACATAGAGTAATGTCCTACCACGCTGATGTACTTACTAAAAGCCCAGATGGATAAGGTTTTATTTTGACAGAGGAGTTACCATTTTAGCCCATCCTGTTCTCCCGTTCTCCACTCTGTCAGCAAGAGAGGGGCTTTGTCCTATTGAAAGATCTAGAAGTTGCACCAAAATCCAAAAAGCACTTTGCAGCCTCTTGCAGGAAGTGTTTTATAGGACAACAGGTGTGCTGTAAAGACTGCTAGCAGATCTGATGGCAGTTAAGTCCTTCATACAGCATTCTTTCAGCACATAACAGAACTGAGTTAACATGAAGTCAATATACTCAAACATGACACGGCATGGGACAGCAGCTGAAACAAAATCTCATCATGTAAATAGCTGATCTAAGAGCTTAAAGGTCTTGTAATTTGATCTATTTGATAACTACAACATCCTTCCCACTGACTGGCAAGTCACCTGGATCCCTAAGTCTTCTGGTACTCCTACTGCTTTGAGAAATATGCACGCTGTGAGAAAAGTGTTCTTAACTGGATGCTTGACTCATTTTCCACAGATTAAGGACAACAGAGCTGCTAGCAAATTCATTTTCTGAGTGACCACAGGTAGCCAGCAAATACTTGCTGAAACCTCAGACCCATGTATGAGAAAACCTGTGCATATTAAAAAAAATCATAGAAAGAAAATTTTGCTCTACTTTACTGTTCAATGCACAGGAGGGGCAGGTTAAAATAGGGAAAGTCAAACTGTGAAGTATCAGATGCTCACCAAAAAAAAAAAAAAAGCAATAACCTCTGCACTTGGCTAAGAAGTAAGTTTCCCTTAGCACAGCCTCCTTGCATTCACCAGCACGTAGCACTGACCATAGAGGAGGAATACCTGCCCTCTAAACCTTCCACAAGAACTGGCAACCACAGCTTTCCTTTCATTCCTTCACAATTACTTCTCAAACTACTGATTAGATAAAACAATCTCTATGCTTTTGTTACGAACACGAGGAGAAATAACTAAATATCTTTACTGGAAAAAACTTTCCAATCTCTCAAGCAGTGAAATAATTTCAAAAACATTTTTTGTTTGTGTTGTTGAGGTTTTTTTTTTTTAATTAATTAGAGCAGGTGAGAAGCAGAATCAAAATTAACGAGAGAATACAAAGAACTCTATGCAGTGTTAAAAGCCTGTCATACTAGCCTCATATAGCAAATAAATTATACAGCTTACATCAACTTTTGCTCAACACATTATTTTAGATAGAGCTTTTAAAGAGTTATTATAAGCATAGAATATAATGTATACTATGTAACAGTAGCCAAATATTATTAAGCATTAGTTGCTGTTACCTGCAATAAAACTGGGTCAGTAAGATTAGTAGAACTTCGACGAACCACTCCTGCCAGCACGCTGGTCAGATTGTAGGTATCCTGGAGAGCTTCTCTAGTCTCATTGTCCAAAGCTAGAATTTAAAAATTGTTAACAAAAACCATATCTAATAATAAAAGCAACTGTTGTATTAGCTACCAATCAAGGCAGAAACCAAACTCTTTGACCAGTTTTTCAAGTATATTTCACAAATAACTACAAATAAATCACAGCTCCTATACTCTTGCATCTCTACCTTACTTCTGAACTTACACTTAATTGAAACACTAATACTTTTCCTTAAGATGCTTGGACACTAAAGAAACAGTCTTTCTCCTACCTAAAAAGTTTTAGTTCTGTTTGAGGTCTTGAAACCTGTTCTTAAAAGGCCTTATAACTTAAAAATCAATGCTCTCAGTTTATTGTTTCATGTCATGGTGGGCAAGTAGAATAAAACCAATACCTTGATAGGGTTATCTAGCAATAGTTAAATAAAAAAACCCACTTCTGCTTAAGCAGTTCTGGTAAAAGATATAGCAAACAAGGATGACAAGTACAGCAACAGATCGGAGGAGGACTACTTCCTGAAGTTTTCCAACAGGCTGGAAAAGATAGTTAAAAACCTCAGCAACAAATACAATCTTACAGTAACTGTTTCAAAAACCTAAAAGGAAGCTCAAGAAGGCTAAAGCCTCCAAGAATCAGATAACAAACAGGTGGTCATCACAAAGGACTCGACTCTTGAATAATTACATAATGAGAAACTAGGCAGTGAAGGCATTAATTTTCCACCTATATATGTAACCTACATACATAGGGTATGGTGAGCACAGAGCCCCCTAGACAATGAAGTCCCATTTCTGTGATGTGGAAAAGGGGGGAAAAAAAAAAAACGCATCTCAAGAAACAAGAGGCAGTAGAACCTATTCTGTAATTGGGAAGCTTGAAGCACACAGGCCCAGGCCATTGTAGAGGCCAAACTGCCACCTATCAAATGCTCCAATGGGAGAAGTAAACTGAGGTGATGACAGTTGTGGATGTAACATGGCTTCTCCCTGCCTTTGCATCCCCAAGGCAGGTTTCTTCACTTCATTAAAAAAGGTAGTCTTTTCAAGCTCCAAAAGGACAAGAGGATAATTCCTCACTGTACCCAGTAAGGAAGCAAATTCTGACAAGCATGATCATTGTCATTTCACAGTGATGACTTAAAATCTGCTTCTCGTGGTGATGTAACATCTTATCTGGCTTTGTATGTTGTGGGAAACTAAGGGAAGATTGGCGAGGAGGACTGTAAATACGCTCAAGTGACTCGCATGTGGGGTGCTGGAAAACACACCTATCTCACTAATTGTTGCTTAGTTTTGTGTGCTCAACAAGTAGGACATCTGCACTCAGATAACATAGGCCTGGGATGGACTCAGGGGCACCTTATCAAGCACGCCTGGGATTCTTGCCCTGCTGCTGCAGAGATCAAAGCCCAGCAGAAAGCTCTGCCTGCCAGAATCCTTGAAATACAGGCCCAAGCAGCAAGTGGGAGCTCCCTCGCTCCCTGGCTAACAAGGACTCTCTTGCTAATAAGGACTCTTGCTCTGCAGTGCCTGCGGCCCCTGCTTGCCTGCCTCTGCCCGGGTGCTGCTTCGGAGGTTCCCAGATCCATGAGGTATTGACATTAAATTGTTCTTTGCTCTTAATCCGTGGTTTTGTGGTTGTTCCTGCGTCCTGCCTGCATCGGCTCACACATACGCACAGTCGGGTAGCTTAGCCAAGCACTCCATTACAATGAAAAACACTTCATTGTTCACACCTTACGCTTTTTCCAAGAAGTTTGTCACCCATGCCACAGAATTAGCACCTATTGAAGAGAGGATTTAGTAGTTGTTTGTATCCATAGAACCTTGAAATGTCTAGTAGTTGGTTGTGTTTTTAAACTATTTTAGAATTTTCTATCGTAGACGGGTAGTATGACCTTGCAGGTGCTGGCTTATCTCGGATAAGGGATGGGAGGATGGCACAAGGCGCCTGGAGCCGAGGCCGAAGCTCCGAAAAACCAGCCAGGACCAGGCCTGTGGTTTGGACGAACTCCAGGGGTGATCTGAGCTGGCGCCGGACACAGAGGTGAAAAGTTACAGTGAAGAAGACTACTAACTTCATCCCTGAGACCCCCTGTCGACCACTACCAAGAAGCACTGCGCAGACTCAGGGGGGCGGGAGGCTCATTTGCATGGGAAGCGGGGAAAGTTAATGCATATATATAGGTGTTGTGTCACACCTGTTGACTATGTATTAGTTAGGGCCATAAACACAGAATTTTGCTCTGGGTCGGCGCGCACATCTTTGGGAAGGATCCCGTGTGCGTCCGGCGCTGAATAAACACACCTCCTTTATAACCCTCCAAGGTTGTAAAGTCGTTGTTCCGCACGTCACCTATCTTGTCTTCCCTTTCCCATACCAAAGATAAAAAGTTCAAGTGCAAACCTTACCTAGCTGTGATAGCAAAGTAACCACAGACAAGGTTAGAGATGGGCTTATATTAGCATCCTCGAGGAGTTCTACTAGGCAACTGAGACATTCACTTGGTAGAATCTGGTTTGAAGCAAATAATCGTGTAAGCTTCAGTCCAGAGATCACCTGGAGATAAAGGGAGGAAAACAACCTCAATTACTCAGCTGAAACAAAGTATTTCATACAGAAGTTAAAGCACAGAGTTGTGTTAAATAGATTTTGTTATATTTGACAAACCAAGAATGTAAGTGCCACTGTAAAAGGACATTTGTATTCGCGTTTGCTTCAAAAAAAAAAAGTTTTGAAAGAAGACTGGTTTTCATTCCTATATATCTGTTCCCTTTACTCCTGCAAAGTACCAAGTTTATGCTGTGATTGCTTATAAACATAGTGGGGCTTCTTTTCTTTGCCTGCTGACAGCAATCATAGTAACAGCATTCCTTTTAAACTTATAGCTGTAGTACAGCACCACTTGGTATTTCTTCACACGTTGAACAGAATTAATACCAGGTTATTACTTCTACATATGTTTTAGCATACGTTAAAGATAGGGTTTATTTATTTTTGAAAGAACAAACAAACAGATTGCTTAACACAAACATGTAGTAATAAGCCTTCAGCTCAGCTCAACAGCCTGCTTTCTAGAGATGTGGACAGGAACCAAAGGTGCCTCTGCAGGAAGGAAAAGCAGTAAGAGGTAGCGCTGCTTTAGGAGCACGCTGTGCTTGAGATGGAAAAAATGGAACTTGAGGTCAGGAAAGCCTATATGATGAGATGCCTAAAAAGATGCACCTGCACATTCATACAGGCAGACACGTGTTATGCTTGCATAATAGAGATCATAAAGCTGGTTTTGCATATCCCCTGCATACCTCTTTATAAGGGATATGGAAAAGAAAGCTAAGCTGAATACTAACTCTTATATTTATGTTTTAGCAACCACAAAAAAAAAAATCTTTAAAACAATCCATATTTGGAAAAGGTAGCATGCAGATTAAGCAAGTCAACCAATGTGCCAGCCTCTCACCGCACCACGACAAGAGCTGTGCACAAAGCTCTGACGGGTGGTCAGGGGCAGGGACAGGCCTACCCCTTCCCAGCAAACACTGTTTATGAGATATTGCATGAAACTCCAGATACAAAAGTACTTCATCATTCAAACTCTATTTTTAAGCTGTGAAAATAAATGACCCTTGTGGGGCAGAATTTAGGGGATAAGAAAAAAAAAAAAGAAAATCCTTCATAAGGCTCAGCCTCTGTGCTTATAAACATACTGCACACATCCATAAACACACACAAACACCCTAAAGCATTACAATAAAGGACACAGTAATGGTGCAGGGATATCACAGAATCGCCGAATTGTTGGAGTTGGAAGGGACCTCTAGAGATCATCTAGTCCAACTCCCCTGCCAAGGCAGGATTGCCTAGAGCACATTACTCAGGACTGCACCCAGGCGGGACTTGAAAATCTCCAGAGAAGGGGACTCCACGCCCTCCCTGGGCAGCCTGTTCCAGGGCTCCCTCACCCTCACCCTAAAGAAGTTTTTCCTCACATTCGAATGGAACTTCCTATGGTCCAGCTTCTGCCCGTTGCCCCTCGTCCTATCGCCGGAAACCACTGAAAAGAGTCCGGCTCCATCCTCCTTGAACCCACCGTTTAGAGACTTGTAAACGTAGGGAAGGACTGCCCTCAGACTTCTCTACTCCAGGCTAAAGAGCCCCAGCTCTCTGAGCCTTTCCTCGTAAGGGAGGAGCTCCAATCCCTTAATCATCTGAGTTGCCCTATCGCTAAACACGGAACCGTTTCTTCTCTCCGACGGCCTGCCTCGGCCGCCAGCTCCCTGGCGATGGGTCACCGGGCTGCACCCTTCGCCCCCGGCCCACGGGGGTTGCGGCGGGCCCGGCGCCAGCGAGGCCCCACGGGCAACAGGGGGCTGAGTTAGCCGAGGCCACGGCGGCACCGCGGCCGCACAGAGCGATGGTGGCGAAGTAGAGCCCACTGAGGCAAGGCCCCAAGAAAAGCCACCCCCCGCCCGAAGCCGAGGGGACACCACGGCGGCCTCACCCTCCCACCACGGCCCAGGACCGGCGCTGCCCTCACCTCCAGGCTGCGCTGCAGGAACGCCGCGTTGGGTGCTGTCTTGGCCGTCCGGTACTGCGAGGCTGCCAGAAGAAGAGACTTCATACAGGCCAAGGCGTCCATGGCGTCCGACCTGCCGCCTCACAGCAGCGAACGACAAACACCGCTCGTATTTCCCGCTGGGCGACACCCACTGAGGGGGAGCGGCCGCCCACCCCGCGGGGCATGACGGGAGGCGCCGTCTCCGTCCTTTGCATTAGGGAGTCACGGCGGGGCGGGTGCGGAGGGCGTTGCTGTCTCAGGGAGAAGCGGGGGAAATCTAGGATGTGGAACCGCTTGAGTGGGATGCCAGCAGCCTGTCCCCGCTCTTGCCTGACCTCTCCCGCGGGCAGGGGAGGCGAGAGAGACGAAAGGAGAAAGGCTCGCGGCGGGGGCTAACACCACGTGAAGGAGGGAAGGACAAGCTGGGCGTGCGGCGCCGGTGACAGTGAGGCGCTGGCGAGAGGCAAAGCGAGGTCCGCGGGGCCCCGGGCGGGCGCGCTTGCGTCGGGTTACAGGCGTCCGTGGGACTCGAACCTGCAGCGCAGGGCCCCTGTCCAGCGGCCAGCCCTCGGCTGCGGGGACCCACCCGCGCGGCACGAGAACAGCGCCCCCTACAGCCCGCGCAGCCACCCGCGCCCCCCTCTGCTCCCCCACGTCCCGAAGCATCCGCAGCCACCTCCCACCCTGTCCCCAGCGCCCAGGGCTCCGACCCCAACCCCTGCGAGGTCTGCAGAACAGGAGAGATGCCCGAGGACCGGGGAAAGGCCAGTGTCGCTCCAGTCGTGAAAAAGGGCAAGAAGGAGAACCCAGCAAGCTATGGGTCAGTCAGCCTTGGCCCCATCCCTGGAAAGGTGGTGCAACAGATCCTTCTGGTTGTCATCTCTAAGCAAGTGGAGGAGAAGAAGGTTATGGGGAGTGGTCAGCACGGATTAACCAAGGGGGAATGATGCTGGACCAATGTGATAGCCTTCTGTGGTGGCCGAGGTGGCTGAAGTAGATGCGGGGAGAGCAGTGGCCATTCTTTATCTGGATTTGATCGAGGCTTTGCCATTGTCTCCCCTAAAATACTCCTGGGTTGGCTGAGGAAGTGTGGGTTCGAGGAGCAGTCAGTGAGGTGGGTGGAGAAATGGCAGGATGGCTGAGCTCAGAGGGTTGGGATCAGTGGTGGAGAGTCCAGTTGGAGGCCTAAAGCTAGAGGTGTTCCCCAAGGGTCAGTCCCGGGCCCGATCTTCCTCAAAAGCTTCACGAGTGACATGGATGAGGGAAGAAAGCGTCACCTCCGCAAGTTTTGCTGATGCCACAAACGCGGGAGGGGTGTGTGACCCAGCAGGTGGCTCTGCTGCTGTGGAGCGAGAGCTGGAGAGGCTGGGGAGTTGTTGGGAGAGGCAGGTGGTGCAGTTGCCCAAGGGCCAGGGCAGGGTGGTGGCCGTGTGGAGGCCTCAGCCCCCGGCCCAGTGCCGGTTGGGGTGTGAGGTGGTGGAGAGGAGGTGAAAGCTGGTGGTAGAGTGCAGGTAGATGACATCTGCTGCTCTGCCCTTGTCAACCAAAGCTGTGGCTGTATTGTCAAAGGCCACCGAATCGGCCCGACATGCTTTTCCCTTAGTGAAGCCACGTTGGCTGTCAGCAATCACCTCCTCCTTTTCCCCGTCCCTTGGCAGAGAGAGCAGGAGAATGTTCTCCCCGCTCTTGCTGGGCACAGAGGTGATCCTGACGGGGCAGTGGTTCCCTGGGTCTGCCTTTTGCCTGTTTGAAGTTCCCTTTCCCCTTGGAGAGGCAAGATGGAGGGCTGGGAGGAGGAAGGCGCCGTTGGAGTTGAATGCACCACCCCACACCCCAACACACACACCCCCACCACCACACGCACCCGCCTCACACCCCACACGCACACACACACACACCTCCCTCACCACCCCCCTCCACCTCCCAAACACACACCACACACACCCACACACTCGCCCACCCTCCAAAACACCCTGCACCACACACACTCCACACCCCAAACAAGCCCTCACACCTCCAACACCCCACCCTCCATGCACAGGGAGGCCTCCTGCTACACCACCTGGCTCCAGGCCCCAGCCAGCCTGGCCCTCAACACCTCCAGGGATGAGGGTTACCCCTTGACAAACCCACAACCACGGGGTTGCTCTTACCTGAGGAGGCCTCTCCCCCCGGCAATGGGAATCGGGAGAAAACAAGGAGCTCCAAGGCTTCACCTGGAAACAGATGACCCAGAAGGTGGCCACATCATGAACATTCAGAACACCAAAGAAGCACCAGAAAAGAGACAAGGATTCTACTCGGCCAATGCTGCCCGCAGGAAGCCCTGCACTCCCAGCAGAGGACAGCTCATGGCGGCCACTGCGAGCGCGACAGCATTGGGAGGAATCACAGAATGAGATGGGCTTGGAAAGGACCTCTGAAGACCACCTAGTTCAAACCCCATTAGGCTTCTGTTCTCCTGACTAAGAAGACCCAAGTCCCTCAGCCTTTCCTCGCAAGAGAGATGCTCCAGAACTCTCATCATCTTTATGCTCCTCTGCTGTACTCTCTCCAGCCGTTCCCTGTCCTTCTTCAGCTGGGGAGCCCAAAACTGGACACAGCACTCCAGATGGGGCCTCACCGGACCAGAGTGGAGGGGCAGGATAACCTCCCTCGACCTGCTGGTCACACTCTTCCCCATATACCCCAGATGCCGTTGGCCTTCTTGGCCACAAGGGCTTGTTGCTGGCTCAGGGTCATCCCGCTGTCAACCAAGGACTCCCAGGTCTTTCTCTTCAGAGGTGCTCTCTAGCAAGTCAGCTCCCAGCCTGTACTGGTGCATGGGGTTATTCCTCCACAGGTGCAGCACCCTACATTTGCCTTTATGAATTTCATCCAGTTCCTCCCTGCCCAGCTCTCAGGCCTGTCCAGGTCTCGCTGTATGGCAGCACAGCCCTCCATCGGGTCAGCCACCCCTCCCAGTTTTGTATCGTCAGCAAACTTGCTGAGGGTACACTCCATCCCCTTGTCCAGGTCACTGATGAATAGATTGAAGAGGACTGGACCCAGTACTGACCTCTCAGGAACCCCACTTGTTACGGACCTCCAACTAGATTCCATGCCACTAACCACGACCCACTGAGCACTGTCTTGCAGCCAGTTTTCAATCCACCTCACTCTCCATCCATCTAATCCACCCTTCCCAAGCTTACCTATGAGGATGCTGTGGGAGACTGTGTCAAAAGCCTTGCTGATGTCAAGGTGGACAACATCCACTGCCCTCCTCTCACCTATCCATCCAGTCATGCCATCGTAGAAGGCTATCGGGTTAGTCAGACATGACTTCCCCTTGGTGAATCCATGTTGACTACTTCTGATAGCTTGCTTTTCCTCCAGATGCTTTGAGGTGATGCCCAGAACGAGTCGTTCCATCATCATTCCAGGGATGGAGGTGAGGCTGAGCAGCCTGTATTTTCCCAGGTCGTCCTTCTTACCCTTTTTGAAGACTGGGATGACACTGGCTTTCCTCCAGTCCTCAGGCACCTCGCCTGTTCTCCAGGACCTTTCCAAGATGATGGAGAGCGGCTTAGCAATGACTTCTGCCCGCTCGCTCAGCACTTGCAGGTGCATCCCATCAGGACCCATGGACTTTTGGGTATCCAGTTCACTTCACAGCTCCTCAACTTGGTCTTCCTGCACCAAGGGAAGGGCTTCCTCTGTCCAGACCCTCTCTGATTCTTCCAAATTCTGTGGCTCCCGAGGGCTTACCTGAGCAGTAAAGACTGAAGCAAAGAAAGCATTTAGCAACTCCACCTTCTCTGCATCCTCCGACACCATGGCACCCATCGCATTCAACAGCAGGCCCACATTTTCTCTAGTTGTTCTTTTGCCTCCGATATAGTTGAAAAAAGCCTTCTTCTTCACTTTGATATCCCTTGCTAATTTTAATTCCAAGGAGGAATTGGCTTTCCTTGTTTTATTCCTCATACCCTAACGGCATTCTTCTGCTCTTCCCAAGTGGTCAGTCCTTTCATCCACACACTGTAAACTTCCTGCTTCCACTTGAGTTTTTTTTCTTAAGCTCCCTGCTCAACCACACAGGTCTCCTGCTTCTCCTGCCTGTTTTCTTGCTCTTAGGGAGGCACCGATCCTAAGCTTGGAGGAAGCGATGTTTGAGTATCAACCAGCTCTCATGAGCCCCCCTGCCTTCCAGAGCCTTATCCCATGGGATTTCTCCTAGCACTTTCTTGACAAGATCAAAGTTAGCCCTCCTGAAATCCAAGGTATCAGTCCTACTTGGTGTTTTGCACATACTACCCACCATCCTGAACTCTACCTTCACATGATTGCTGCAACCAAGGTTGCCCCCAACCTTCATATCCTCCACCAGTCCCTCTTTGTTTGTCAGTACTAGGTCCAGTAGTGCTTCTTTCCGCGTTGGTTCCTCCACCAGTTGAGTTAAGAAGTTATCATCAATACACTGGAGGAGCCTCCTGAACTGTAGGTGCTTGGCTGTGTAGCCTTCCCAGCAGATGCCAGGGTGGTTGAAGTCACCCATGAGAACCAAAGCCTGCCTTTGCAAGGCTACTTTGAGCCAGTTGTAAAAGGCTTCATCAACTTCCCCATCCTGATCAGGTGGCCTGTAATAAACACACACTACAATGTCCCTCCCTTGGCCCACCCCTTAATTCTCACCCACAAACCCAACTCTCTCTTCATCTGACCCCAGGGAGGGCTTGAGGGACATCTCCTCACTCTCTATCCATTCCTTCACACAGAGGGCAACACCTCCGCCCCTCCTACCTCGCCTGTTCCCTTCTGAACAGCTTGTGGCCCTCAATACTCACACTCCAATTGTAGGATTCATCCCACCAAGTTTCAGTGGGAAATCATAGCTTTCCAGCAGCACAGTGGCTTCCAGCTCCTCCTGTTTGTTGCCTGTGCTGCATGCATTGGTGTAGAGGCACTTCAGCTGGGCTGTTGGCTGTGCTGCCTTTTGAAGGGACCCATTCCACCAGGTCCATGTTCTTCCTGTCTTGAGGACTCCAAAGCAGGACACGGGACTCCAGATGGGGTCTCACGAGAGCAGAGTAGATGGGGAGAATCAACCTTAAAGTTACTTTCTAATCTTGCTGTCCTGAGAAGAAGTGTAGGAATGTCAATATAAAGCCCTTTTCTTTTTACTGTTAACGGAGCAAATTTCTTCCTCTAAGACACAGCTGAATAGTATAAATGTTTTTCTTTTCATTCTGGCTCCTTGCTTCGTCCTTCAAATCATTGTTCCTTTGCATGCTCTATACTTCTGACCGCCTCAGGGTTAGTGCCTGAGAGCTCATTGGTGGTGGAGGGTTGGATGTGCCCTCAGGTCTCAGTGTAGCATTCGGAGCCGCAACCGCTGTGGCGTTTTCAATCCCAGTCCAAAGCCTGCAGTGCAGCACTTGGACCAGAGCAACTTCCAGCCCAGAAACACAGCCTGGCCCCTTGCTCCTTGCTGCTGTTAGAGGCCAGGCTGCTGGGGACGGGATGTCTTGGCGCAGCAGCTGCTTGGGCCCATACACGATACAACCAACTCTCGGGCAGGTGCCGTGTTCTGCAAATAAAGAGACCATGCACACCAGAGCACACGCTTCTACAGACCAAAGGTTGCTTCCTGTCTCTCCAGTGGTACCATTTTTCATGGACAACTACGTTCTTTTCAATTTATGATTTTTGTCCAGATATGTTAGTATTTTTGGCAATGCCAGAGGTAATTAATATTCTTATTTTCTCCTTCATGCTACAAGTACCATTTGAGCCTGGCACCAAAAACTGTTGTCACTGCTATATTCATAATGATGTCCAAAGCACTGGAAGATCTGAAAGTTCTTTAATAAATACTCTACTCCGCCCCTCTACTCTGCACTTGTGAGACCCCACCTGGAGTACTGTGTACAGCTTTGGAGTCCTCAGCACAGAAAGGACATGGACCAGCTGGAACAGGTGCAGCAGAGGACCACGAAGATAATCAGAGGGATGGAGCACCTCTCCTATGAAGACAGGCTGAGGGAGCTGGGATTGTTCAGCCTGGAGAAGAGAAGGCTCCGGGGAGACCTTATAGTGGCCTTTCAATATCTGAAGGGTGCCTATAGAAGAGCTGGGGAGGGACTCTTTGCCAGGAAGGGTAATGATAGGACAAGGGGAAACGGTTTTAGATTGGAAGGAAAAAGATTCAGATTAGATCTCGGGAAGAAATTTTTTACTATGAGGGTGGTGAGACACCGGAACAGGTTGCCCAGGGAAGCTGTGGATGCCCCATCCCTGGAAGTGTTCAAGGCCAGGCTGGATGTGGCCTTGAGCAACCTGCTCTAGTGGGAGGTGTCCCTGCCCATGGCAGGGGGGTTGGAACTCGATGATCTTTGAGGTCCCTTCCAACCCAAACCATTCTATGATTCAATGATTCTATGAATACTGAAAAATATATACCAATATATATATGCCAAATACTGGTAGAATAGGAAAGAAATCTAATTAATATTACCCATAAAAATATGCATATATTTTGTGAAAGATCTTAAACAAACACACAATCAATATAAATATCTTCCTCAAGATCACAAATGGAGAGGGAGTTGGTACTAGCGACGGAGTATCAAGACATACGTTCCAGTTCTGGCTTGGGCTGCTTGTGGCAGGCCACCTTCCGAATAAAAGCATATATTAAATATTTAAAATGAGGAGTAAGATTAAAGCAAGTTCTTACATTGAAAAATAACAAAACCTATATACATTACAGTACAGAGCTAATGGCAGTAGCAAATTAAATGTAATACGCACTCTCATTTGTACACTGTCTCTTAAAAAAAAAAAAAGGATGTGTTCATACCAACATGCATGCAGACTTCCGCTGCTCTTGTAACCTACCAGAAACATTCACTGATATTAAAAGTATTTAAAAGCATTTTCATGTTGTTGATTAATCCTTTACAGCATGGATTTAACAAAGCCTTTTGGTGTTAATTTAGATTAACCCAAACTACAGGATAATACTGGTATTTCTTTACATAGGTGAAATACTACCCACTTATCCAATAATGAGGTAACGTGAATCATGCACAAAATTACAGAGTTTACAGGGTTTTAAGCTCCATATGATCCAATAGAATTTTATTATGCATCATTTTTGTCAACATACATCACTTCTGCCGTACTCTATATTGCACATTCATTTATTGTATTTATATTGCTGCTTTTTAACAGTTTTTTCATTTTAGCAGTAGACAATTTGGACAGTTTGCTGACTGAAACCAAAATAAACAGATGTGCACACAGATACCCTTCCCCCTCCCATATATATATATGCATGTGTCTTATAAAAATTAACTCTTTTATTGCTGAACAAAAATATACCGTAGCTTATACCGGATCTGCTGGGAGAAAATACAGCTGCTCTGCCAGTCTGCCAAAGGTGCCAGTTCCTGAGGTTGAGATCCACAGCAGAGGATGCCCCGCTAGCAGCTCTCCCCAACTGATCCCTTGTGTTGTGGCACAGCCTGGAACAGCGGCTTCCCAAACCATCAGGTTCACATCATTTAGGGTAAGACAGCGACGTAATCACTGTCACCAATTTCTGTAAAGAAATCAATTAAACAACAACAAAAAAGATGTCATTGCACATGGCTCCTCTGAAAGCCCAGGGTAAGCAGATGGCCCGTGGCCGTGTTGATGGGCAGGTATCAGCAACCCAGTTTGTTTTTTCAGTGCTCTCTCTGCTACTCCAGGGCCAACATTTAGCCCCCTTATCCTATGGACTGGGCCCTCCAGGTGCCCATATGGAGGCAAAGCCTGTGTTGTCCTTTCTGAGCCAGCAAACTCTGTAAATTATTTTATTAAACAGCTGTGTCCACGTGAGACCCCTTCTTCCTGAGAAACAGTCAAATGCTGGAAATTGTCCCTACTCAGTGAATCACATCAACAGCTGATGACTATAGCATCGCACAGTCTTTCTTCTCTAAATAAATACCCAACAGAGAAGCTCTCCTCCCAACTAAGGTAGAAACAATGCACGCTGGTTCCAAAGCAGTGATTCTAAGCAAAAGGCTTTTTATTTTCAACACACTAACTTAAAAAATTAATCATGTTTTAACACAAATCACAGCAAACCACAAGCTGGGTGGATTATTATTTTTTTTTCTTTTTCCTTTTTTTCCCCTAGCATCTCAAAAATAACCTTGTTAGATTTTGTTATAAAAATAGCTTTCAACCTGGACGCGAAGGTAAAGGACAGCCTCAGCTCCCAGGGCAGTGCAGGGGCCTGGCAAGTTGGCAGAAGCACATTGAGTAAAACTGGTCCTCAGACTTCTCTAGCGTAGAAGCATCAACACCCATGAAGGAGTGAGCTATGGCAACATCATGCTTTGCCTTCTGTATCTCTTGCAATTTTAACTTGTTAACTTGCAGTTGTTCAGACTGTGTAATCTGTGAGCTGGGTAAAATTCTTTACAAGTGAACATAAGAGAGAAGAAAGGGTGTTGAATTTCTACCCATGCAAGCTGGTCTCAGCAACTATTCTCAGTAGCAACTACTCACCACAGACCTGTCAATGCAGTCATCTTAAAAAAAAAAACAAACCAAACCACAAAGGCAGAGGTAAATTTCTCACCATCATAAATTCCATCCTTTCCCGACTTGAACCTCAGGCTTCTTTGTGAGGCCTTTGATTTCTCTACCGGGTAGCGAAGGTTTGTTATTAGTCCTTGATTTGGCTTCTCATAATTGTATATTAGGTCCTTTAATGTTCTGAAGATCCTCTCTGGAACACCTTCAGCAGTCTGCAAAGAAAGGAAAATAAAGTTTTTTGCAGTTGCCCTTCAGATAGGGTTCCCTAAATTAAAGGAAAGATAAATTGTTTCTTGCTCACCAAGGAGCTGTTTTGAAAACAGATTTGGTGACAGAATATTGTGCTAACCTTAAAACACCAGGGACAACTGTCTGGTGGCGTGGTTCTGGCACTACGTGTAACCTCCCTCACCATCTTTTTTTTTTTTTTTTAAATAACGTCAGTTTAAAATATCGGCTCAGAAGTGTGCTGCGGCAATCCACTACAGCAGAGTGTCAAAGAGTGACTTCCCTCTGATGTTCGAGCACAAATTTTGGGGCAACATACTTAGTTCTCACTTGGAATGTTGGATTTAAACAACTGTGTGACAAGCACAAGCCAAATCTTTTACAAAATATCAGCACTGCCAAGCAAAGGACAACTGCAGAGGCAGTGGACACGTCTGAGGATCCATATGAAATTCTCCGGCACCAGCTTTCATGTTTAGGCTCAAGCTTACTATTTGTCTCAGATTTGTGACTTGCATTGGAGACTCCTGAGGCCAAGCATGGAGGGTGGCACTCCTAAGCGGGGGAACAGTGTTCTCACAAACTGCTTTTTAAGGTGCAGTTTCATACAGCTGGACTGATCTGGTTCCACGGCACAGCCCCCCAGTGATCTGTGCGCTTTGCAACACTGGTGACTTCAGGACAGTGACAGGCAGTCAGAACATCAGTCAGCTCTAGTCACAGTGAGGGTTCTACCACTAGATTCATTAAGAGTGAATAGGGCTTCAGAGTCACTTCACTCGCTATCTGACAAAGAAACGTGTCTTCATTTTCTTTGTTTTTTATTCCGCATCCTTTATCTTCCCTGGGTGGGACTGGGTGCCACTGCCTCTGTGTCCAGGGTCTGGCTGGGATGGAGCTAACTTTCTTCGTAGCAGCCAGTATAGTGCTGTACTTTGGATTTGTGACTAAACCAGCGTTGGTAATACACCCGTTTTGGCTGTTGCTGAACAGTGGTTGCACAGCCTTGAGATTGTGTCTTTTTCCTGTGCTGTTGCCCTAGCGAGTAGGCTGGGAGAGGAGATGGCCAGGACAGTGTACCTGAATTGACCAAAGAGTTGTCCTATCCCATATGACACCCCATTGTGCTTGGCAATAAAAGCTGAGGGAAGTGGGGTGTTCATGGTTATGGTGCTTATATTCCCAAATAACCATTAGGCCCTGCTTTCCTGCTTTAGGTGGCTAAATGTCTGCCTCCCAAAGGATAGTGCTCAAACTCCTTCTCTGCTTTGCGTGCATGCTTAACTTTGCTTCACTTATAAAGACTTTTATTTTGATCTAGAAGTTTCCTCATTTTTTCTCTTCCTGTTCTCTTACCCCCACCGTGACCTGTGAAGGTGGGGAGTGAGGGAGCAACTGTGTGGTTGCTTAGCTGCTGGCCGGGGTCAACCTACCACTCTCTAGAAAGTTCGTGGATGAATCTGGCCCTTAAAAACACCTGAACAATCTCCCTTCCACCATCAATATATTATTTTAGAGAGCCAAAACAATGTGACTTAAAAATTTGAAGATGAGTACTCTTCTTTCACATTCTTGGCAAAAACTCGTAAGGAAAATTGGGTTTGAAGAAATGGAAAGTGTTGAGTTATTATCTGCTGATTAGGCACGACAGAAAAACCCAGAAAAGTGGCTATAGTCCAAAATACATTATTTTGTGTCAAAAAACCATTCAGTTCTTCATGGGAAATTGTGTCTATTGTACTCAGTCCAAACCACTAATAAGCAAGAAATTACCAGCATATGAGAGCTTGGTGTGTCCGTTATGGAGTGAGCTCCTCATTCCACTTAAATGCTACTTAATTGTTGGCAGTCCTGTTGACTGCCCTACTACAAGTGGAGCAGTGAAACAGCTTTTTAAGTGTCCTCTAACCTTGCCTAGGGATTTGATTGATCCAGTCTGATCTTACACTTATTCAAATAATGAGTAGCATTATCCAGGGTCATCACTTCAGATGCCCCAGAATCACAGAGAATTATAGATAAGTCTCTTTAAACCAAAAAGATTCTTTCAATATTCAAACCCTCTACAAGATGTTGAGTGCATGGCAGAGCTTTCAAAAAAAAACAAAAAAAGCTAATTAGGAACAGAAGCATGTAATTAAAGTGATAGATTTTTCTTCAATGCTATGAAAAAGAAATGGTGAAATCAGAAAGCAGCTGGTCAACAAATAACAGATCCACTTGGGTTATAAAAGATTTCTATAAAGAAAATAACTACTTCTGAGCACATATGCAATAAATACAACTTTAAAATTAAATTATTGAGTAGAGATGAAAACAAACTTGGAAATATTTTCTAAGGTAACATGTTCATGTGCATAAATTTTTTAAATCAGGACAGTGGTCTTTAGTGCAAACTTTATGGATGAAATGAGAGTTACTCACCTGTATTCTAAAATATCCTTGCTGTTCCCTGAAGATACGGTAAGTGTAGATGAGATTTTCAAAGCTGTGAAAAACATTGTTGTATACATTATGCTTTTCATCAACCATCAGACCACTGCAACCTGCTTAGACTGCTACAGCTGATCTTGACAGCCAGGTTTTGGTTTTGCTTGTTTATCTGTATCTTAAAGTAAATAGCAATACAATGAAAGACTAAAAGCAAAAAAACAAACCTAAAGGAATGCCTGATGCTAAATAACATAAATTTTTATATATGTATATATGCGCATTCATTTTTCCATTTGATTCACGTATCTGGAGCCTTTGTTTTTCCTTTTGTTTCATATATTGGAGCCTTCAAAATACTCGGGGTTCTCCAAGTCAGATGTTTAATCTTCTGTTAGCCAAAATTAGTTATGCCTTTTGTTTCCTTAAGCCTCAGAAACCCAAATATTACTTTATCATACCTTACTTATTCAGACCTACACCCCTATGCATCGCCGTGCAGATCTGGTAGCTAAGAATGCTCTGTTCAATCTGCAGTGACTGCACTTTGCTTAGCATAGAGCTTGATAAAGCACACCCAGCTAGCTCATCCCCACATTAGCTAACTGCCTGAGCTTTCTTCTGGCTTCTTAGGTGCATTTCCTATGCTGAGTTTTGTGCTGCTACAGCTCTAATAAAATAGACCTGGTAAGTCAAAATAATGAAAATTATTTGAGTTTATACATACAGAAAGGGCTGGATGTCACTGAGAATGTGTATTACTTGTTCTAAGGCAGTAAAACACAAAATAGAGCCTGGAACTCCACTGCTGGTGCCACGTAAGAGAAGAGTCCTTACTTTCATAGGATGCCTAAGTCCTTGCTCCCCACCAGCAGAATTCCTCCACGGCACTGGAAACCACTTTGGGCAGTTGTCAAGATGAGCATAAAACTGCAGGCAAAGTACTGGCACACATGTCAGTGAGAACTTCAGTATCTCCATCAGCAGTGAGGAGAAGGAGAGCCGTGTCCTGGTCGGCTCTCAGCCTTTACACCACGTTGGACTAATCAACAGACAACACTTCCACAATGGAAAAACAGTACTAACATGTACCCCTCCTTCAAAAATGGAGCTATATGAAGGAATAAATAGCTACAAAGACAAAAGCGATGTGCCCATCTATCCCTGAAGTTCATACTCCAGGGCAAAATGGGCTGGCTTCCAACTTCTTATCACATCCATAAGAGAAGCAGTCACCTTTCAAAAGATGAATCTACACCTGAGAACAAGGACGAGAGATTCACCTGGAATATGACACAAGACTGCAATGCTGTATGGAAACAAGCACATTGGCATAGAGCTCTGAAAGATTGTCTTTGCGAATGTAATCTATCATTTTAATAGAAGTTGGGAAGGATTTGAGGAGAGAAAAAGAAAGAAAACCAGATTAATTTAAGTAGCGGTAAAGAATGATTCTTGCAGTTCACTTTTCACATGAGATCTACTGACATTCCTCTGAAGAACAGAAGAAGTGAGGAGGTTGCCACAGCATACACAGGAGTGTGAAGTTGCAGAATATTTTTCATGTAATCTGCTTTCCTTGTGGGAGCCATCAAGTAATTGTGGCGCCACAAATTCATACTTTTATTCTCTCCATGCTGCCCCACACAGTAACCCCTTGAGCTGTCTGTACCTTCAGGTATTCCAGATGTGCTCATGCGCCAAGCTACTTGAACCTAGAATATATTTTATTTGACTGTAGTATAGCTAGAGGTGTATATGACACCGGACATACACTGAAGAGCATGTGTGATATTAGGGGCTTAACAGTGGGCTGAGTCTCCGAGCCCTGCTGCAAAAAACAGACGCTGTGGTGGAAAGAAGAGACACCACATTTTTAACAAAGCATGAGCCTAGAAATGTCTGCAAACAGCAGGTAGTGTTAAAGACAGGAGAGTTTGTGCAGTAAAATTGAATGAGGCAGAGACAGAGAAGCAAAACAGAAGGGAGCCTAGAGCTTGCAAAATGAGAGTGTTTCATGTCTTGAAATATAAGATTACTCTTGGGTTTCAAAGAACTTATAAACTAAACCTCACACAGGCCTTTTCTATAACAGTAATTTAATTCCACAGACATCCCATCCTCTCACCTGCCTTCTTATCCTCCTCACATGTGATACCTTCCTAACTTCATTTTGCAGTTGTATCACAAGAAGACTGTTGAATTCTTGGAGAGATGCTAGCAGAAAATGGCCTCTCCAGTTGTCAGCACCCATAAAATGACTGCACAGGTCCTACTTTTATGAAAATTATTCTTCCTTTGCATTTCCCAGGGTTTTAATTATTATTATTTTTAATAATATGCAGGCAACTGATGGCTTTGGGTATATTTTGTTAACAGAAATAAAAGCTTTATCAAATAATGAAATGGCAGGCATTCAGAAGATTAACTGGAGATTATGACCATGACCAAAAAAGGCAGTAAAGCTGCAAAGATACATAAACCACAAATAAGGGGAGGTGAAGCAGTATTTGAAAACGATGCCCTTTAACTGGTATGCAGGTTCCTCAGAAGGACTTCAGATGTAACTACATGAATTGAGCTGTCGTCAGAGAGATGATCTTAGGGTGAAAACCTAGCTCAGGGGACTTGTGCATAAACGAATAGTTACTCTGGAAATAAACTACTTTGTTCTGAAAAAAAAGTTATTATGGACTGCAATCAGGATAAGACTTCCAGTTGGAATAGATCTACTTTGATTCAAAGAGTTGCATCACAGGGATGCATCTTCTGTTTTTTTTCTCCTGAGATACCCGTGGAAAGCCACATGTTCCTGGCTTAAGAATATTTTATACATGTGGGTGTTCATTCTTTAAACATAGACATAGAAGTGAGAAAAAAAAAAAAAACCTACCAGAAAATGATAATTTCTGAAACTTGTCCTTTATCTGTCATCCAAATTGTGAAAGGTTACTGCCTGGATATTATTTGGCTACTGTAGTTTTTACTGAATAAACATGAAACTACCATTAAAATGGGAACTTCTGTTTCCACATTAACTGCTAAATGCTTACCAATAGCTGCATATAACAAAGTGCCTGGGTGGGCACAGGGGAGATCCAGTGGCAGAAAAGCAGGGTTAGAGGAGATTTTTTTGGTAGAATGACATGTTGAGCCATAAGGAGAACAGTAGCAGAAGCAGTAGGTCTAGAGTGAGGCACTGTCAGAGACCTGGATGAAAATGACAGAGTGCTGTGGAGAGCTGTGCACCCTGCCTGATTAGAGAAGAGATGCTTTTGAACTGGTCCCATCATTCTGACTCCCACATCATCCATGGGAGTGCCCTCCCCTCATACCTCAAGCCGTAGAGAACAAAAAAAATGTTGTTTTCTCTCCCAAGTGGGTCAGTATCTTTGCTCATGGATGAGCTAATTTGAGAGGTGTGCATCAATTTGTACATCAACCATGTTAGGTGCTGAGCAACGCTTTAAGATGCAATTCTAATCCAAAAGTTGTCTTGAAACAGCACTGAGAGTTCCAGTGTTCATTGCCTTCAGCTTTAGGACAGCTTTCTTCTGTGTAGACAACCACTGACAGACAGTCCAGTCTCTGAGGCAATTCGGAGCCAATACACTATTGCCATCCACCCCATTTGCTATATGAAGACGACAACCCTTGCTTTCACCTCTGCAAGCCATTATCTGTTATACCATTGCTGGCATTCCTACAGTTTAACTGTTACATTTGTTAATGAGCAAGTTAAAGTCCAATACACTAAACACTATAGTTTTTAAGAGTTTTTAACACTAAAAACCCAGAGAGGCTAGCTGGAAGTCACATGCTTTTTCATATGCCTGCCCAGAACATTGTTGATGGACAAAAGCATGTCTGCAAGCTATCAATATCACAAGGTAGATCTGCTTTGCCCTTAAAAAAAAAAGAAGGGTAAGCAACTGCGTTAGCATGGCACCACTTAACCTTTATTTCAATTTGCACCTGTCCACAATGTCCTGTGTAGATGTTCGCCCTGCTACATCAGTAGTTCAAACTCATTGCACACACCTAAGTAGGCTTTCACTTTGCATGCAGTAGAGGTAGACAACAATCTCAACAGCCATCTTCCTGCGTCAGGGACTAGTATTGTCATTCTCCCTCTGTGCCAGGATCCCCATTTGTCCCATACCTGACAGGGTATGCATGACCTGCCCTCCTTGCACCCACTACATTGTCTTCTTCAATGCCATACTGAAAGCAGGTTCCTGCAGCACCTACCCTCAGAGCTCTGTTTGTCCCCCCAGTTGCCATTTCTCTTTTCCTTACTCTTGTCATTTCACGGACCTCCTTACTTCTCCCCACCAACACCAGAGTACTCCATTTCCCTCTCTCTTTTTCTCCCTTCTCCTTTGATCTATTACAAAAGAAACACATTTTTGATTATTTGTAAAAACATTTTCTGATATTTTCAAATTAGGTAGAAGTGGTGTTAAAAAAATTTCATGTCACACTCAAACACATCCTCAAGGAGAGTGAAAAATCTCATAGGGTGAAACAAAGAGAGACTCAGAGTTACTAATTTACAAACTTTAAATGCATTAGAAACAGATCAATTATATATGAAAAGTGTAAAACAGGTTTCTTGAAAGGGAAATAAAATTACTATTCCCTACAGGAAAATAAAATAAAATTTTAATTGTAGTAATTAAAGTTGAAAACTAGAAGTCGCAATTTTCTATGCCCATCTTGTAATATGAATTCAAACAGGACTTTATAGCTTGCTGTCTCAGTTTATGTTCTTACATCAGCTTTTATTACTTTGAAGCACAAGGCTAAACTTTCATCTGATGGAAAGCTTATGAAGATCTATTGCAAGACTTTTCAGGGTCTAAATGCTATTTACTCATCATTAGAGAGGCAGTCATTTTGAGTAAGGTTCTTACCATGTTTTGGCAGGCTAAGTTATTTTTTCTGCACTCCCCTTATTGTCTGCAGAGACACACCAGCATCAGCAGATTACAGTCCATTCATCCTCTGTTGTATAAAACACCTTCTGCAATACTCTCCTAAGGCAACCAGCATTACTTGAATACATATACACACCCCCTAGAAGTCTGTTAATATTAGGGAAGAACTATTAAATCTGGACAAGATGAACGCTTGTCTTTGGATATAACTGAAAACTCATAAAAAATTTAGCATGAGTACTTACAAAACACAGAGACACAGTGCTCCTTCCACGCTTTCACTCTCTCGTATTAAATAGCTACCATTTTTTCCCTTCTTGCTCAGCAGTTCTTCACAAGTTCTTCTTGTTATCTTTCCATGAAAAAATGAGAACTCCATGGACAAAAGAAAACAAGGTCTTTCGCCTTTCAAACCAATTCCAGAGAAAGTCAGAAGCCTTATTTCAAATGCAGCTGTCTGCAGACAACTGAAACAGGAGGTGCTAAGTACATACAGGAGTTCATCTGTGGTGTTATCACTGGCCTGTCCGTAGTGAAGTCGGCTGTTGGCCTGTGCTTACAGCTCAGTGCAGGCAGGAAATGGGAAATGGTTTGTACACACTGGTCACAGTCCACATGAAAAGAGAAAAGTCTTTTGTCACCTTTTATCAGCAGAATTGGCACCGGAGTTGTGCGATAGCTTCAAAGCTATGCAATAGCTAAGTTAACACATAAGTATAGTTACTTTTTTAAATTAACTTTTATGTTTAACGTTGCTCAAAGCTCTGCAAATAGGGTTCTTGCTCATAGTTTTGAAAAAAGCTTCCTGGTTTGATTCCTTTTCTTGCCAGACTCGCAGACTTGCCTTCTAACACAGTTATTTGGGTTTTGTTGAGGTTTTTTTTTTCTTTTTTTTTTTTTTTTAACTTGATTTTTTAAGGTTCAGTGAAAGTTGGTCAGCAATATTTGAGAATGAGATTTTTCAAAACAGAGCATTCTTCCTCTCCCAGCCTCTTCTTTTTTTTTTAAAGCATAGCTATTTTGTCAAGAAGTTCTGCTGTCTCTGTGCCACGATTTAGGAAACATGGCAGGAAGGAGAAGGGGATCAGAAAGCGCATTTCACCACCCCTGGGAAGCTGCTCTCAATTCAACAGGACAGGATCCACCCTTGTGTAGAACTGTCCTCCCCAAAGAAGGAAAAGCTGCCCAGCTCCACAGGAGATGCTCTCCCAGGCATTTCATTCTTTCCCTGCTGGAAGCCAAGGACTGGGGAGGAGCACACAGACCTGGAAAAGCAGAAGGTAAGAGGCAGTGTTTGTGAGGGAGAGCAAATTGAGGGAGGACCTGAAGATGTGGGGAAAGCAGTAATTCAAACGGCAAGAATAGTAGGAGAGACAGAGTCCTAAAGGAGGGGAGAAGGATCTGGAACCTCTGCACACAGCCCACTCTCAAGGTCAAAATGGAGTCCAAACACGTGAGAATTGGCACTGGTAAAGGTCTTCCTGGTTTCAAAATATGCTGTTTGTACATTCACCTCCCAGCTCTGATACCTAGGGCCAACTATTTCTGAACTACGACGTCCTCGTGATGGCTCATGATTTCCCTGTTGCCAAGCTGAGCTGGTGACACCTCCCACCAAGGTAATGACGCCTGCAATTTCCATTCAAGACAGTAACCACCATCTGGCACTGCTACTGCCACTTACCCCATTTGTACTGGTGACATTGGACCTGTGTGGTGCAACTCCAGGATTCACCCTGCTGATGATCCACACAGAAGACAAGGGAATGCCAGAAGATGTCATTTTGATATTTCCCCCTTCTTTTTCACAAATCCTCCTCAATTTAACAAAACTGCAGGTAACTTGTGATGGCAAGTACTCAGCAGTTAGGAAATGGCAGACTTACAGCATGCTACTGGCAATATCTCAGTTCTCCTACCTTTTTGGAAATGAAGTATAATAAAGGAACAGGTGTGATGGTGGGGAGGGTCAATTATGTGACTTTAATATTTTTCTGTGTGTCATCTACCTCACTAAAGCCATAGATTGGGCTATGCTGCAGGAATAGGTCAGGACTTTACAGGGTGAGGAGGACATTATCTATAGGAACTCTTGTCTTTTTTATTCCAAATCACTAGGTGAATTTGAGAAAAGAAAATTAATGTTTGTGATGTCTTGATCAGCCTCAGTCATGAAGGCATGGAAAGCTCCAGAAAAAACTTGGCAATTCTCTGTTCATGCAGAAGTTTAAACAGAATTCATCAAAATAAGCTGTAGAACTACACAAAGATTTTAATAGAGAAACCAAGTGTGAGACACAGTGACAATCGATGGCATCTTGACCACGGAGTGAAAAAAACATCCTGCGGAAAAAACAAGGTAAATACTGTCTGAACACTAGTAAGAAAGGTCAGTTACGCTGTACATGCAGCTGTTACTTTCATGTTTCTTATTCTGATGACATTATACACACAAAAATCTTATATTAACATTAGCGTGTTTAATTGCAAGTTAATCATGCATGACACTACGCATTTCTAAATGGCATCTGAGTTCAGGAATAAAGCAGAAAGGTGCGGCTTTGTGTCAAAGAAATTAAGGGAGTTGGAAAATAAGATTCAGGATACAGGAATTAAATATGTTCATGTTCCTTTTACCTTACTTTATCTATTGTAGTATTCAAGTGCAGATGAGAACAGTAGCTTGTTTTAAAAGCAGAAACATTAGAAATATACCAGAGAAAGAGGTCTGGAAGGAAGAAAGGAGAAGCTGTAAATACGGTCTGGTCTGTCACTAAACCACAAACATGATTTAGTGGCCGGACACATTGCGTCTAGTATGCATATATATAGATATATATGCTTTGCTCTGGCACTGGTGCACTAATCCAGGGCAAAAACGCAAAGCAAAGACAAAAGAGGACTTGCAGATCACAGCCTGGGGTACCTCTTAATGAATACATGGAAGGTGGTGGGAGATGTCCTTGACAGTCATCACAGAGCTGTGCCGTGAGCTTCACCATGACTTGTAACAGTGTTGGATCTTTATCATGTATGTTTGGATCATAAAATAATATATCTCCATGGGCCAAATTTAGCTGTAAACTCTAAGCAAGCATTTCCTAAAAAGTATCTCTGGCTTAACAAACCCAGCAAGTGTTTTTGGCTTACACAAACCTGCATACTCAGGCTGCCGTCTCAGCTGAGCCTTCTATAAAATTTGATGCCTTTAAGTGAAGAAATCTTCTGATTAGAAGAGCAGGATAGTTAGCTACTCTTCCTTATGCAGAACATCTGTTAAAAAAACAAGACCTGCAACGTTCTTTTGCAGCAGTGCCAAGTCTTGGGTAACCATAGCTCTAATTTGTTTTCTGCCATATTATTGCCTTTACTCATTTTCCAACTGTTAGTTTAAAATTCAGTGGGCCATTTTCATAGTGACATCTCATATTATTGAGCACATCTGGAGCTCTGGTTCTACCATCTCTCCTGGCTGCAGCTGTAACACAGCAAAGCTCTTGATAGCACCTCTTGTAAGAATAGGAAATCTGAGGAAGAGCTAGGTCCCATGATAACATTGAGAGTTAACTGTTCAGTGAATAATTGGGGAGGGTATGGGAGATCAGGGTTAGATAGAAAGCCGTGGTCAAAAGCAGCTAAAAGCAAAGCTGGTGTGCTTGACAACTGGTGTGAATAAAGCAGGAAGTGAAAAGGTTATTTGTTGTTTGACCAGATAACAAAAAAACACAAGATAAGAAAACAGAAAGAAAGTTGAATTCTAGCTAGGTCTCCTGAAAATTTGAGTTCTCATTGAGCTGTATCGGTAGGCACGTTACAATACCATGGCTTCCCATACGAACTGTTTTGCAAGAAATATAGTAACAAATTACATCCAGTTTTGCAAAATTCACAACTTTAGCATAATATCTACACCAGTCCGTACTTTTGCTATATATTGTGCCTGGGTAAAAAGCTTTTGTGATATTTGTTGATGGCAGGATTTGCTTTAGAACAAAATAAAAATCATTATGATGTAAATTCAAGAAGAAAATTTAACTAGTGTATCTATTACTTACGGATTGCTGGTAGATCCGTGTGTGGAGTGCCAGAATAATTCCCCAAGGTTGCAGAACTCTGTCATTAGCTTTCTAATCAAATGTAAACCTAGGAGAAAAATCCTGACTTATAACCCTCTGAACATATAGTCTGTTTTTTAAAATACAAGTAAATTGAAAATGATCTTTCAAAATGCAAAGATCTGTGCTAAAATGAGAATTAAAAAGTCATAGAACCAAACAATTAAAAAAGGCTAAATACATAATACATGACTATGTCTAAGTAGTTTTGGTCTTGAAATTATCTAGAATTTTGCTGAAAAATTTACTTGCAAGACAGAGTCACAAAATAACATTTTCTTTGTCACTGACAACCCTGTTGTCGTGGTTCTCAGTTATCCTTATTCAATTATTCTCTGAGCTTATATTTCAAATTTTTGCATTTCAGCTAATATACTTAAAAAAAAAAAAGAAAAATCAGAAGAATTGAGAGATGAAAAAGGAAAAAAAAAAAGGTTTCCATTGATGTAAGAAGTTACAGTGTCTTCAAACTGAAGAAAATGGTGGCATAAAGTGACCCCTTAAAGAGACCTAGGTGCCTCCTCAAAGACTTCATCCAGCCAGGGCGGGAACAGATGCTTGAGAGATGTGGAAAAGTGGAATCCCACTGGCACTGGAGCACTTCAGCTGCTGCGCAAATGCAGAGGAACAGTTCAGCCTGACTGGAAACACATTCCAGGTTCTAGATGCCACCAAAATTCCTCTGTAGACTTAAGTGAAACACCAGTTTCACCAAGAAAATGACTTACTTGAAGTTCATTCAATCTGTCCTAAGTGGCACAGATCTTTGTAAGAAGTACACTTAGACTTTCTTGTAACAAATCTACACTACTATTATAGCATGGTGTCAAGTCCTAGAAAGCACCTTCTTCAGCTTTGTTTTCAAAAGAGCAGGTCCCTTCCCCAGTTTGACAGTCCTGATTCATGTTAACTGTTATACATGCTGAAAATTCAGCTCCTAGGACATCATTGGTCTCAAATATCACACAGAACAATTTATGAAATGCAGTAAGAAGTCAGTTCACATGACAATGTCCCCACAGTGCTGTGTTCCTGTTGAGAAATGTACAAATAAAGCTGTGGGAGATGACAAACCCCACTTGCACTTAATCACATTTATATACTTCCGTTGCATACTACATCCAAAATAACTTCACTATAAAAGTCTCTTTTGTAGCTTTTGTCTTACTATTTGACACCAAGACTCTGACCAGGGTGTTCACCTGCCCTTCATATCTAGAGTAATATCAACAGTGATATCCTTTTTAGATTCTCCATTTTCTCTTGCTAATAGATCTTTTTACTCTTGCTAATATTTTCCTAGTCACTAAGTTGCCAGTGTCCTGTCCAAAGCTCTGCGTACCTGGCAACTAGAACTTGCCACTTTGGAAGAGTGAGTTGTCACAGTTCTTCTGGTTTCTTATCTTTGCATAATCTTGAAAACAACACTTTTTCCTGTAGCAATCAGGCACTGCATATTGTAAAGAAAAACAAACAGGATGACAACATGCAAACTTTGTAGGCCTCTTGCATAATTTTTGGGACCACTTTGATGCCAGCATTTAATTATTATCCTTCAACTACCAAACTTTCTTTATGTGTTCGTATTCCTCTATTGATTGTCTGGGCAGCACTACAGAGAAATGATCAGAGAACTAGGCTGTGCAAGTATACATTGCAGAGCACACACAGGACAA